AATGTGATGGGAACTACTGAATTTGGTGACGGGGTCGGGGACATGGGTAGTGGTGAAGGCCCTATGGAGGATAATGCTTCTGCTGCTGATGCTGCTGCAAACGCTGCGGATGCAGGGACTGGAGATGCTGCTGCTGCTGCTGCTGCTGATCCCAGCAGCAGCATGCCAGGCAGCGCAGCAGACACAGCCGCAGCGTGGGCAGACGAATTGCTGTGTGACTCGGCTCTGGGAGACGTAGTGGATGGAATAACTGCCCGCGCAGCAGCTCTCGCAAGCAGTGTCAACCCGTGCGTTCTGCGCACAAACGAGGGGAAAGTGGCAGAGGATCTGGAGCGAGCGTTGCGAGGGCATGATGTGGAGGGAGCAGTAAGGTCTCTGTTCCTGGATGGGGCGTTTAGTGAGCTCTGCTGCGCTTCTCTGGGCGTCGTCAGTGGCCGAAACGCGTCATCTGCATCATCTTCATCGTCAGCGGTAGCAGCAGCAGCAGCAGCAGCAGCAGCAGCAGGAAGGGGAGGAGAAGGAGGAAGGGGAGGAGCAGCAGCAGTAGGAGCTGACATGCGAATGGGGGAGGGTGAAAGAGCAGTAGGAAGGGAGGGTGCAGGGGTGGAAGGGGAAGGTTCACAGGCTGCAGGGAGGATGGGCTGGAGGAGGGAGTGGATGGGGGGTGACGCGGTTGCGGTGTGCTTTCTTTTAGAATGGGTTGTTACTGGTGGGGGGGCGGGGCGGCCTCAAAGGTGGAAGTTTCTACAGCTGTTTGGTGGGAATGGTAGTGCTAGCAGGGGCAGCAGGAGCAGCGGGAGCAGCAGGGGCAGCAAGGGCAGCAGCGGCAGCAGGCACAGCAAGAAGCAAGGGAGATCAAGAAAACCTATGTCTCTCCGTCCTTCCACAGGGCGTGCTTTGCCTCTCTCGGACTATTCTCGTGTGTGCTTTGCTGTCTCGGTTTTACGCGCATATGCGTCCAGCTTTCAGCCGCCCATCTTCTCCTCCCTCTCCCATGCGGCTGCTGCAGACGTGGCTGCTGATGCAGGTACAGGTACGGATCAATTCTGCACAGTCAACAGCAGCGTAGCTACAGGGACGGCTGAGCGGGAGGGAGGGGAGGCGGGTAGGGAAGGGGAAGCTATGGAGCATGATGGTTTCGAGGCAGAGAAGGACGAGGGACAGGAGGAAGAGGAGCGGGCGGTGGAGGAGGAGGAGGAGGAGAGGGAGGACGAAGAGGAGGGACAAGGATGTGGGGAAAAGAGGAGGGAAAACGGTAAAAATGCGTTGCCTGCTCTGTTGGAGGCAGAGGAGGAGGTTACAGACTTGGGCCTTCACGACTTGATACTAGAGTGGCTGGAGAAGCGATACTGCTTTGTGGTGGGAGGTCCAGGTGGGGCAAAGCAGAGGCGCCAGATACTGCACGCGCTGCTGTGTGAGCTGGTACAGCAGGGGCTGTTTGGGCCAGTGCTTTATATGAAGCAGCTGCTAGCAGATGGTCGAATGGAGCCTCCTGCTTTTTCTGCTGCTGCTGGAGTAGGAGCAGGGAGAGGAGCAGGTGTTGCTGCCCCTTCTGTTGCGTGGACTGTGGCGTTGCAAGGGCAGGCGTTGGAGCGGTTTTGGGGAACGCAGAGTCACCGGGAGTGCTTGCACCTGCTGCCACACCCACCGCAGTTGATGCGCCTGCTCGCTGCGTTTCCTCAGCAGAAGCAGGAGCAGCTGGAGCAGAAGCGGGATAGCAGGGCTGGGGGGGGACCTGATGGGCTTAGATTTCAGGGCTTGTTTCAGCAGCAGCAGCAGCAGCAGCAGCAGCAGCAGCAGCAGCAGCAGCAGCAGCAGCAGCAGCAGCAGCAGCAGCAGCAGCAGATGTTTCCTGAAAGAGGGTTGTTTTCTAGGGCTACCGATGGTGAGGGCAGGGAGGGAGGGATGGGTGGGGGAAATCTAGGCGAAGAATTGGAGTTAGAGGACGAATGGGAAGGCAGGGTGGGGGTGGTGCAGGAAAGGGAGAGAGCAGTTGCAGAGGCTGTTTGGTTGTTTGAGACAGAGAGGGTTGTCACTATGAGGGCTGGAAGTTGGGTGAAAGGAGGGAAGGGAGTGAAAGGAGTGAGAGGAGTGAAAGGAGTGAAGGGAGTGAGAGGAGTGAAGGGAGTGAAAGGAGTGAGAGGAGTGAAGGGAGTGAAAGGAGTGGAAGGAGTGAGAGGAGTGAAAGGAGTGAAAGGAGTGAAGGGAGTGAAGGGAGTGAGAGGAGTGAAAGGAGTGAAAGGAGTGAAGGGAGTGAGAGGAGTGAAAGGAGTGAAAGGGAAACCTCGACGATCGTCTGATGTCAAGCGGGGAGCGTGTGAGATTCGGGAGGTACGTGAGTTAGAGAAGAGCAAGCAACCGAGGAAGGCGAAGAGTGAGATTCAGAAGAAGATAAAGACGACGAAGGGAAAGAAGGCACGGGAACCGCAGAAGAAGCAGCAGCAGGGTGATCGAGTTGGTGTGAAGTTCGAGGCAAAGCCAGGGAGAAAGAGGAATAGAGCGGAGGGTGGGGAGTCAGCAGTAAGGACGGAAGGGCAGCTGGTGAAGAAACGCCGGAAGATGGTGGGATCCGAGGGAAGGCAGAAGAAGAGAAGGCGGTTGGAGGAGAATTCCAGGAATGAGAATATGTGTGCTCAGGGACAGAAGGCTGGTAGAGTGGTTGGGAAGGGAGGGAAGAGGGAAGTGAAGAAGGTGGGGAAGGAGAGTCGATGTGTAGGGAAGAAGAAAGGGAGAGTAGGGAAACAGGAGTTGACATCAGGAAGACAGAAGGTGCAGGTTGAGGAGCAAAGAGAGAAGGTAGGGAAGTTGAAGTTAGGAAAGCGAAAGGTGGAATTAGGGAAGCAAAAGGCGGAGACTGGAAAGCAGAAGGCGGAGACTGGAAAGCAGAAGACGGAGACTGGAAAGCAGAAGACGGAGAGTGGAAAGCAGAAGGCGGAGACTGGAAAGCGAAAGGCAGAATTAGGGAAGCGAAAGGGCAAGGTAGGGAAGCGAAATGAGAAGGTTGGGAAGAAGAAGAGCAAGCTAGGGAAGCAGAAGAAGTTAGGAAATCAGGTGGCGGAATTAGGGGAGCAAAAGGGCAAGGTAGGGAAGCGAGTTGACAAGGCAGGGAGGCAGAGGGGCAAGTTAGGGAAGCAGAAGAAGTTAGGAATGAAAAAGGCCGAATTAGGGAAGCAAAAAGGCAAGGTAGGGAAGCGAGATGAGAAGGCAGGGAAGCAGAAGGTTAGGATAGGGAAGCAGAAGAAGTTAGGAAAGCAAAAGGCCGAATTAGGGAAGCAAAAAGGCAAGGTAGAGAAACGAAATGAGAAGGCAGGGAAGCAGAAGGGTACGTTAGAGAGACGGAATGCAAAGGTAGGAAAGCAGAAGGCGAAGGTAGGGAAGCAAAGGGCAAAGGTAGGGAAGCAAAAGGAGAAGGTAGGAAAGCCAAAGCAGGTGGTGGGAAAGCGGAGAAGGAAGGCAGGCAAGTCAAAGGCTTTGCCACAAGAAGTCAGAGTGAAGAAAGCTAAGCAAAGGTATCGGCTAGGCAGAAGGGGAGTGAGAGTACGAATTGGCCGGGGTCGTATTGCGGATAGCAATGGTGGTGGGGGAGGAGGGAGAAGAGATACTGTGGAGACGTGGGGGGAGAAGCAGTTGAGAAAGGCAGTTTCGAAGCAGCAGATAGTTACAGTGGAGTGTGTGCTGGCGCTGCTTGGATTTGGAAGGAGCAGAGGAGCAGTGGGGGCGGTGCAGGAGAGCGAAGAGAACACGAATAACGGAGTGAGACAGGGAGGTGGTCTTGAGTTGTGTGGTGGGAATGTTTCTACCAGAGCTGCTTTTGCTGCTCATCCTCCTTCTCCCCGCTTTCCTCGCCCTGCTCCAGCTGCTGCTGCTCCTCCTCCTCCTCCTCCTCCTCCTCCTGCTGCTGCTGCTACTGTAGGGGAGATGTTTTCCTTTCATAGAGTTGAGGCACGGATTGGGAAAAACGCCTCTGGTGTGTGGATGAACGAGAGTGTGAGAGCAGAGGAAGACAAGCGGACAGATGCAGCCAGGGAGGAGCAAGAGCGAGAGCAGGAGCAAGGGGAGGAGGACGAGGAGGCCTGGTGGCAGAACGAGCGTATCCGGAGTCAATGGGAGGGGGATGCGGCGAACAAGGGAGGAGGCAAACCACGAGGCAAAGCGCACACAGGACTAGTGAAGCAGGAAGCGGGTGAGAGAGGAAAGAGTTCCGGTGAAGCGTTTCAAGAGGAGCTGGGGAAGGTTTACAAGGCTGCAGAAGAGGGAAGCAAGAGTGGGTCGCAGTGGCAGTGGGAGTGGCAGGGGCAGTGGCTAGGGCAAGAAACGCTAGACGGAAGGGGCATGACAACAGGAGCACATGCACATTATATGACTCATGCTCACCAACAGAATCTCCACCCAGATCGCATGCCTGGGCCTGCTAAGCCCTTCCCAGCAGCCAAGCTTGACTGTGCCAAAGGCTTAGTGCGCAAGCTGCCGTCTTGGCGCTCAGTTACCAAAGCCCTGAACCGGCTCTCTCCGCGCGATTGCCTCTGTCTCACCCTCCGGCTCACGTCCGCGCTTGTTGGATCGCTACCTACTAGGTTCTCTCCTGACGAAATCCTGCAGGGACCTGTAGGGGTGGTGTTGAGCTGGGTGGAGGAGGAAACGCAGGTCTTGGAAGCAGGGGCTGCAAAAGCCGTGTCTACGGCTGACGCTTTAGTAGCGGCGAAAGCAGCGGCGGCAGAAGCTGCATCGAAAGCGGATGGAAAGACGGGGAAGAATACTAAGAGTGGGCGGGGCAGCAGGGGTTCCCGCAGGGGAGCGAACGCGACAAGGGAGCTGGCGGCGGCTGCTGCTGCCACCGCAGCAGCCACAGCAGCTGCGGCGGCTGCAGCGGCTGCGGCTGCTGCGGTGGCAGCAGCGGCTGCTTCCCCGGCTCCTTCACCCTTCACTGCCCCTTCTCCTTTCATGGCTCCCTCGCCTCTATTCGCGCCGTCCCCGCTATTCTCTCCTTCTCCTATCTGCAGCACTCCGTTTTATAACGCGGATTCCCCTGCTCCTGCCACTAGGGAGTCTCTTGATGGGGCGGTAACCGGTGCGATAGCAGGCGAGCATTCGGGAACCAGTGCAGGAGTAGCAGGAATGGGTGCAGAGGAGTGGGTGGTGGGAGAGGAGGAGCTACAGCAGGTGCTGTATGTCCTTGATACGTGCTCAGATTTCCGTAACCTCACGAGATTTCTGCTTATAGTTTTGGCCCTAGCCCGCTCCAGCGAGCATAGGGGCACCGCGGGGGCAACAGAGCATGCACTGCTGCAGACCCAACACCCCTCGGAAGGGCAGGTGCTGGGGGGGAATGCGCCTGGGTATGGGACTGGTGGTGGGGTCAGTGCGTTCGGGGGGCGTTCGGGTTTTGAGGCTGGTTTGACTGGTGGACCGTGGGGGGTGTCTCGTTTTCAGGGGAGCGTGAGCGCGAGCGCAGCAGCTGCAGCAGGAGTAGGAGGAGGTGCAGGAAGTTTGGGGGGAGTGGTTAGCAGTGGGATCAGCAACAGTGCTGGTGCTAACGGTGAGGAGACTGCTACTGGTGTCGGTGGTGGCGGTGGGGTGTGTACAGGGTTTCCTGTCTCGGAAGGCATTCCTATTCGAGGCCGCGTGGTTGTTAAGTCTTGTGTGCTAGTAGCTTGCCTGGAGCGGTATGAGCCGGTTTTTGTCTCCCTCGCCCAATTGCCATCCCTCCTCTCCCTGCTTCTTCTCAAGGCAAGACAGTCCCTAGCCTTTTGTGCAGTGCAGCAAGTCACTCCATCTGTTGCTGCTGCTGCTGCTGCTGCTGCTGCTGCTGCTGCTGCAGCTGCAGGTGGCATAGCCCCTACCCCAGGTGTACCTACCCCTGGTGCTTCTTTCGTAAGCCACCAAACGGGAGCAGCAGCAGCAGCAGCAGGAGGATGGGGTGGAGGGCGAGGAGGAGAGGGCGGCCCACAGGAGCAAGGGGAGGAATCGGGCCTGTTTGTCATGGATGGGGGGGACGACAGGGATTTGCACCACCTAACGGATTTCATCGGGCGGTTATTGCAGCGCTATGCATCGTCCTCTCCTGAAGTGAAGGAGTGGGAAGTGGCTGTTAAGTCCCAGTCGCAACCCCAGCTGTGGGCTCACATTGATGCCGCGAGAAAGCGATCTGTGGTGGAGGAGGAAGGGAGGGAGGTTGCGGGGAGGGAAGTGGTTGGAGGCGAAGCAGAGCGGTTTGGGGTGTCGGGGCCTGGTCTGGGAAAGAGTGGGGGTGTGGGAGGGAAAGCGGGCTTCGGAGAAGGGGAGGCAGGTGCAGTGGAAGCGTCCCTGGAAAGCCATTTACGGGACGTATTGCAGAGATTGCAGTTGGAAGACAAAGAGGAGGAGGCGGCAGAGGTGGAGGGAGAGGAGAAAGAGGAGGAGGAGGAGGAAGCGGAGGAGGAGAAAAGGGGAGGCGAAGAGCGGGACAGGGCTGAGAAGGCTGGTGGATTTGGCGGGGAGGATAGGTGGGGGAAACGTGGTTTTGATGATGGCATGGACTGGGAGCACACAAGGCTAAGTGCAGTGAAGGAGGAAGAAGGGTGGGGTGGGGCCTATGGCACTGGTGGTGGTGGTGGTGGTGGTGGTGGTGCTGCTGCTGCTGCCGTGGAAACCGAAGGTAAAGCTGCTGGTAACATGTCAGGGAGGAGAAGGAGGAGCGAGAGAAAGGCTCTGGAAGAAGACTGGGCAGTGAGGAAGGCGAGGAGGAGGTGTGTGATAGAAGCGGTTACCAAGGAACTGCGGGACGTGTGTGTGGAGTATGGAGGAAAGGGAGTGAGGGAGAGTGAGCTGTACAGCGCACTGGCATGTGCAGTGATTGCAGGAGCCAGTGATTCAGTCAGGCGAGTCTTTGAAAGAGCTGATAAGCATCGTCGGGTAAAGAAGGCGGCAGTAGAAACAGCAGCAGGCTGTCGGCAGCATAAGGGCAGAAGAAGAAAAAGCGCATGCATAGCAGGGCTGTGTGAGAGGTGTGAGAGGGGGGAGAGAGTTAGCGATTCTGTGGCTGCCAGTGCAAGGGAACGAGTTCTGGAGCACCTGCAGTGCCTGCAGCTGCTGGTATCGGTACTCCCCTCGCAATCTGCCCGCCTGCTAGAAAACGCCCTGATTCATGCTGCAGGGGAGGCTGTTCGAGCTTCTTGTGGGAGTCAGAAGGGCCCTTCCAGTCCCCCTCCTGCCTCCGCTGCTGCTGCTGCTGCTGCTGCTGCTGCCACTGCTGGCTTTACTGGTCTCAGCAGCGGTGGTGGCAGCGGCGGCGGCGGCGGTGGTGGTGGTGCTGCTGCTGCGGCTGGGAGAACATATACGTCTGGTGCTTATGGGACGTTATCTCTGGTAACTCCTGATCTCATCCCGCCTCTGGTACAGGGTAGGAAGGGCACCTCCTCTCTCGCAGTCGCAGGTGAGAGATACGGAGGGGGCGCAGGGCAGAGTGGGACGGCTGCTGCAGAAGGGGCAGTGAAATCGGCAGGTGAAGGTGGTGGGGGAACGGAAGCAACGTGCAGGGTGAAGGCTGAGGAGGAGCAGGAAGGAAGGGGCGGGAGCGGAGGAATGGAGGGAGTGGAAGGAGAGGAAGGAGGTTGGGCGAAAAGGGAGGAGGACACAGATGGTCCCATGGGCCGTTCGGTGCAAGTGGAAGAAGGGTTAGGGTTAAGTGCGGAGGGTGAAGGTCAGCCGGAAGGGCAGAGAGAGGGGGGAAGGGAGGAGGTGCAGGCAGAGGGAGAGGGTCTATCCAGGTTGGACTGGAGCGGGGAGGTGGAACTGGGGGTGGCGTTATCTGTTGTGGCTCTGGGCACTGTTCATGGGCTGGTGTCTCTGCCTCGTGCTGTGGCGTCCCTGTGTGCGCCTCATACCCTTGCGCCGTCAGTAAGGGCCAGACTGCAATGCCTTTCTCCAAGTGATTTGCTGCAGGTGCGAGAGGTTGAGGGGGTTGCTTCTGAGACAGCCACTGCTGCTGCTGCTGCTGCTGCTGCTGCTGCAGTTCCAGTTGCTGCAGGAGCAACGGCGGTAACAGGAGCAGCAAGGGCGACAGAGGCTGCAGAAGCAGCGGGTGCTCGAGTTGCTGCCAGTGCTGTAGCCAAAGAGCAGACAGAGTCTCCAGTGGTATCAAGGGGCGCAGTGCGGTTGAGGCATGTGGGAAGCACCAAGGAAGAAACCCAGGGTATCAGGACACGAGGGGCAGATCGGTCCCTTGGCCCAGCAGCAACAGGATTGGGTTTGACTAACCCACTTTCTAGACAGTCATCCATAGTTAAGCTTAGACAGGGGCGTAGAAGCTCCCGTTCGAATGCGAGAGAGCATGAGAGCGGGGGACAGGGCGTTGCGGGGCGGCAGCAGGTGGTGGGTGGGGAGAGCAAGGAGGAGGACGATGAAGGGGAAGGGGAGGAGGAGCGGTGGCAGTGTGACGTGACTCAGCTTCTGTGGCTGCGTGTGCTTCTTGGATCACACCGGCTAGAGCCGCAGAAGAAGAAGGAGAAGGAGAGGCAGGGCCGGCGATGCAGCCGAAGCAAGAAGAGTAGACGAGTCGCTGTCTCAGCAAAGGCATCAGGCTCTGCGGCGGCGGCGGCGGCTGCTGCTGCTTTCAGTGGTGGCGATACGCTTTTGAATGCTACACATAAACTGGCGAAGGAAGAGGGAAGGGGAGAGGGAAAGGGTGAGGGAGAAGGAGAGGGAGGAGCGGGAGCGGGAGAGGGAGAGGAAGAGGGAGAGGAGTTTTGTACAGCGGTTACATCTGAGAGGGCGTGCAGGTGTGGGTATCTTTCCTGGTGGCCTCGTTTGCTGGGTCCTGTCCATAGGCTGGCACTCCATCGCATGCAGACCTCTCTCCTCTCCACCCGCTTCCTCTTCTTCTCTGTCTATCCCCTCTTTGCTGCTGCGCTGCATGCACGTGCAGCACACAGGGCAGCAAAGGAGGTGGAAAGGAGGGGAAGAAGGGGAGAGGGAGAGTCTGGCAAGGGAGAAGCGAGGCAGGAAGAGGATCGGTTAGGTGGTGGGGAGGGAAAGGGGCCTGAGGAGAGGGGTGACGGTGGGGCATTGATGGATGTTGAGACTGCATTGGAGGCAGAGGTGCTTGAAAAGAAGCTCGTGTTTCAGCAGCAGCAACAGCAGCAGCAACAGCAGCAGCAGCAGCAGCAGCGGCAAGAGCAGCAGCAGCAACAACAGCAGCAACAGCAGCAAGAGCAGCGGCAGCAACAACAGCAGCAACAGCAGCAAGAGCAGCGGCAGCAACAACAGCAACAACAGCAGCAGCAGCAGCAGCGGGAGCAGCAACCGCAAAAGCATGGAAGTAAACGGGTCTGCAGAGCTCCTCGCAGCTGCAGATGCCCCAGAAGGCTCTCCCCTTCCTTGTGCTTGCTTCTTCCCCGTGCCTCCGTCCGTATGCCTTTTATACCAGCTGGCGAAGCAGAAGCAGACACAGGAACAGGAACAGGAACAGGGGCAGCAGCAGGAGAAGCAGCAGCACCAAGAGCAGCAGCAGCAGCAGGGTCAGTGGTGCAATGTGGAGCTAAAGCCGACTTTGATGCGAATGCGGAGGCAGCAGCAATTGATGTTGTGTTGAACCCTGCTGTGCGCTCCGCTCTGCTGCGAGACATACAGTCTTTGGACCAGTGCGTATGGCGGGAGGTGGAGAGGGAGCGAAAGATGGCTGCTGCGTTGCATGCCGCTACTGTCACTGCAACTGCGGCTGCTGCAGCAGCGGCGGCGGAAGCAGGAGGTAGAGAGGCAACAGCTGCAGCAGGGCCGGGTACAGGGGCAGGGGCAGGGGCAGGGGAGGATGCAGAAGTAATGGCACCTCAAGCAGCAGAGTTGCGAGCGCCAGCAGCAGTGGTTGCTGGGGATAGCAGTAGAGTCCCTTGGATTCTACCAAGGGCCTGCTCTGATGAAGCGCTGCTGGCAGTGGTGCCGTTATGGTGCCGCCAGTTCCTCCTCTCGATACTGTCCCAGCGGCTACTGTCACCCCGCGTCCGAGTCAGATCACACGGCGGGCACAGGGCACGGAGAGGAGGGGTTGAACAAGAGCAACGGGAACGAGGAGCGAAGGGAGCAGACGGAGAAGGGGAAGAGAAGGAGGAGCAGGGAGCGTGTAGGCGCAGGAAAGGCAAGAGGAAGTTGGATGGGAGGGAGCAGGTTTTGGGGGGCAACGGAGGGCCGGGTTGGGGAAAGGATGTGGTGGATGGAGTGGGGAGTGTGGGGCGAGGGGTGGATGATGCGTGGAGGAACGGAGAGCAACAGGTGCTGCTGATTGCTCTGTTGGAAAGTCTGGATCCTGCAACGCTGCCTGTGCACCGCGTGCTCTCTCGCCTGCTCCTGGCAGAACAGGTAAGCGCTCGTTGATTGTCGAGTCGACCCAAAAATCAACTCTGATGGCACTGTTGGATAGCTTGGATCCTGCAACGCTGCCTGTGCACCAAGTGCTCTCTCGCCTGCTCCTGGCAGAACAGGTAGACGCTCCTCTCCTTCCATCCACCCTTTGAGCACTTGATTTCTCTCGCACTACTCTCGCACTCCTCTCGCACTCCTCTCGCACTACTCTCGCGCACTACTCTCCCACTATCCTCACACGAGTCTGTTACTCCCCAATTGTTCCAGTCTTCACTCTTTCCCAACACCCTGTTTCTTCTTATGCTCTCTTCACCACACACCCTTGCCTTGGTTCCCTGGTCTTGCTATTTCCCTCTCATTATCCCTGTCACCTGAACTTCGTCTTCTCTCTTCCACCCCGCACACTCCATCCACCCTCCTGACCCACCAACACCCACCCGCCCCGCCGTGCCCTGGCCCTTGTGGTCCCGCCCCCCTTCCCCCCTGCGCGCTTGGCCCCACAGGTGTGTCAGGAGCGGGTGCAAGCAGGTGCATCTCTCCCGTCCGCCTTCCAATCGGCCCTCTGCCTCAGCCCCTTGTATGGAGCCTCGGATCGACCCCTCTCCGCGTCCCACCACCACAGCCAAGCAGCGTCCGTTGCAGGAGCAGCAGCCTCAGCGGCAGCAGCTAGAGGATCAGGGGTTATAAACCTTACCGGTGATGGTAACAGCGAGGGCAGCAGGACTTTCCGGGTTGGGCAAGGGCAGGGAGGGTTTGGGGGAGCGGGCGGGGCGGGAGGTTTAGGTGTAGGTGCGGGGATGGGATGGGAAACAGGAGATGTGTTGCCTCCCGATGGTGTGTGGGAGAGTGAGAAGGGGTTTGCAGGTGCGGTGCTGTCTCGGGTGGTTGTGAGGCCAGAAGCTGCAGCGTTGCTCTCGGAGCTTCTGCGGGGGTTAACACGTAACATGGAAGACTGGGTGGTGAAGCAGGTCAGGCGCTCACTCACTCAGTGTGTCTCCTTCCCTGCATGTTTTTGTTGTTGTTGTTGATGTTGTTTCGTTCTCGTCTTCTCTGTGTGTGGTAATGCATCCACTCACACATGCATCTTGCGTCTAGCTTCTAATATAGCATTCACGAGTCGAGGTTGTTACGTTACGGATAATATACTCTCCATGTTTTTCGTGCGCTTGTCTCCAACACCCCATCTCTCGCCTTTTGTTTGCCTTTCTAATCTCATTCCCCTCCTCCGCGCTCCCTCCATCTCCCTCTCTCCTCTCCCCATCAGGCTCGAGATGTTCTAAGTGGTTCTGTTACAGTCTCCTCCATACGTCCCATCTCTCACCGTCTCAGCGCTCTTGCTCCCCCCCTTCCCAAATTCATCCTTCGTCGCTCCACCCCACACCGGAGAAGGGCCAGACGAAAAAGAATCATCGCTGCTGCTGCTGCTGCTGCTGCTGCTGCTGCTGCTGCTGCTGCTGCTGCTGCTGCTGCTGCTGCTGCAACTGCTGCTGCTGCTGCTGCCACTACTACTGCCGCTGCTACTGCTACCGCTACTGCTGCTGCTCCTTCTGGTGGGATTGGTGGGGTAGCGGATGCTGCAGTTGCTGTTCCTGCTGGTGATCCGGCAGGGAAGGTGGAGGGTATGTCTGAAAGAGAGGAAAAAACCAAGGAAGGAGCAGCAGCCGCAGCAGCAGCAGCAGCGGCAGCAGCAGGAGCAGCAGCAGCAGCAGCAGGAGCTGATTCAGGTGCTGCTAAATCAGATGCACCAACACAGGTCTTGCCTGGGGAAAGGGGGACGACAGAGGCGCCCGAAGAGGGGGTTGTTAAGGAAAAGAAGGGAGTGAAGCTGGGAGTGTCAGTAGCAGGGGAGGAGGGCGAAGGGGGTGCGAAAAGGATGGTCAGGATGGTCAATGGGGAAGTGCGTGGTGTGGGTTGTACAGAGATGGAGGGAGTGGAAGGGCCTGGGGTTTCAACACAGGCAGAAAAGGATGGGGCAGCGGGAATGGTGGTGGTGGGTGGTGCAGGGGAGAGCGAGGAAGGTGCTCGTGAGAGTGACCCCATGGGTCAGGCTGTGGACAGAATAACTCTAGATGGAGGTGTAGCGAGCGAGGAAAAGGGAGGCAGAGGAGGAGACGCGGTTGTGAAGGTGGGCGGTGATGCAGGGAAGGAGGATGAAGGTGGGAGTGGGTGGGGTATAGGCCTTGTCGGGATGGGTGAGGATGCAAGGGAGGCTGCGTTTGTGTCTGGGAATGGGTTGGGGGAGATGAGGAGCGGTGCTGGGTTCGGAGAGGGGAAGTTTGGATCAGTAGAAGGCCAAGGGACGGAGGGAAATGAGGGAGTCAGGGCGAGAGGGGATGGGAGGGAGGGAGGAGCGGTGGGGAACGGTGGGAGGGGTGAAGGGGGAGTGGTGAACAGCCTGCATTCAGGGCTTGATTTAAAGCTGGATGGAGAAAAAGGGGTAGTGAAGAAAGAGAACAAGGAGGAGGGGATGATTAAGGTTGTGGGAACAAAGGAGCAGCAAGGGAATGGATTCGTGGGGATGGATGTGGATGGATTGAAGGATGGGGCAGGTGGGGAAGCGAGGGAAGGGCTGGAAAATGCAGCAGAGGAAACGAGGGTGGGAGGTGAATCGGCAGACGGGAAAGAGGCAGAAGGTGCGAGATTACTTGTGAAGGAGGAGGAGGAGGTTGATGTAGATGACGGGGACATGGATGATGGGGAGCAATTGGGGAAAGGGAATGGGGAGAGGGAGATGGAGATGGAGGGGATAGAGTTGAAACACAGTGCGGTTGAAAGGGGTGCGGAGCAGAAGCGTGGCACAGGGCTGGAAGGCAGGGAGGGAGGAGGTGGAGAGAAGATGGAAACTGATGATGATCGGGGAGGGAGTGGGGGTGGTGGTGATGGTAACGGTACAAATCACAAGGATGATAATGGTTGTGCTGGTGGTATGGATAGAGCTTTTGGCCCTGATGGTGAAGTGGATACCGAGCCGACAGAAAGTGAGGCGGAGAATAACATCGGAGATGGGACAGAGGGGGCGGATGAAGCTGGAGATGCAGAGACCGGGGCAGGGGAGGGCAGCAAGGGGCAAGCAGGCAGGCTGGCGGAAGGGGATGAGGAGCTGAGGACCAGTGCAAGGACACAAGTAGGGAGGAAGGTCCAGCAAGGGGAAGGGGGGGACGAGGTTATTGGGCCTTCCACTGCCTCGTCCTCCTCTCAATCCGCCTCCTCCTCGTCCGCCTCTGGTTCTGCTTCTTCCTCCTCTTCCCCCGCATCTGCTGCCTCTTCTGCTGATTCCCCATCCTCCTCATCTTCCTCGTCGTCCTCATCCACTGCTGCAGCAGCAGCAGCAGCTGCAGACGCAGGAGGAGGAGCAGCAGGGGGAGACGCAGCAGGGGGAGCAGCAGCGGAAGGAGCAGAAGGAGAAGCAGCGGCAGGGGGAGCAGCAGCGGCAGAAGAAGCAGGAAAAGCGTCCTCACGTTCTGCACATGCGTCTGCATCTGCATCTGCCTCTGTGTCTACGTCTGCGTCGGTCTCTGCAGCATCTTCTGCATCTGGGCCAGTGGAGGGGCGTGGCAGCAAGGGTGACACGTCGCCTGGGGAGAAAGGTGGCGATGGGAAAGGGGACGGGGATGAGAATGGAGAAGGGGAAGGGGAGGGGGAAGGGGAAGCAGAAGAGGATGGGGAAGAGGAGCGGAAAGGAGAAGCAAAAGGGGAAAAGGAGGAGGAGCGAGAAGCGGAAAGAGGAGGAGAAGGGGAAGGGGAAGGGGAGAAGGGGGAAGGGGAAGGTAGAAGCTCAAAGAAATCCTCTTCTACCACTCGATCTCCTCCAAAATCCTCTCCTGCAAAATCGTCCCAATCGGCCTCGTCATCCTCTGGCTCGTCCAGCTCATCTTCGTCTTCTGGTTCCTCGTCTTGTGCACAGTCAGGGCACGATGGGGTTGAGGAGGAAGAGGAGGTGGAGGTGGGAGATGTGCGGGATCGGCAGCAAGAGCAAGAGCAAGAGCATGAGCGTGAGCAAGAGCATGAGCATGAGCAAGAGCATGAGCAAGAGCATGAGCATGAGCTTGAGCAGCAGGAGCAGCAGGAGGAGGAAGAGGAGGAGAAGCAGGAGCAGGAGCAGGAGCAGGAGCAGCAGCAGGAGCAAGAGCAGCAGCAGGAGGAGGAGAAGCAGGGGCAAGAGCAGGAGCAGGAGCAGGAGCAGGAGGAGGAGCAGGAGCAGCAGGAGCAGCAGGTGGAGGAGGAGGAGGAGGAGGAGCAGGAGCAAGAGGAGGAGCAGGAGCAGGAGCAGGAGCAGGAACAGCAGGAGCAGCAGGAGCAGCAGCAGCAGGAGCAGCAGCAGCAGGAGCAGCAGCAGCAGCAGCAGGAGCAGGAGAAAGCTGGGCAGGAGGGACAAGAGGAATGGATGGAGGGGGGTTTAGGTGAGCAAGGGCAGGGAGAGGAGCATGCCGTAGGGGAGAGAGGAGACGAGGGGAACAGTGAAGAGCGGATGGAGGAAGGTGGTTTTAAGGGAAATGATTTTGAGAAGGATGGACATGCGGTTATCCTAGGGGAACTTTTTGGGGAAGACCCGGGGATGGATGATGCGATGAGCGAGGGGGGAGAGAATGCCAGTGGGGAGGAAAGTACGGAACAGTTATGGCAGGAGCATGGGAAGGATCTGAGGACGGTTGACGGAAACGCGTGTCTGGGGGAGGGGGTAGAGGGATCGGCGTGGGAGAGAGAAGATGAGGAAGGTGTGGAGGAGGAGGAGGATGAGGAGGTGGAGATGGAAGGGAAGGAGGTGGGGGAAGAGGAAGTTCGGAAGGGGATTAGAGAGGAGGGAATGGGAGAAGAGGAGAGAGGAGGAGAGGGGGTTGGGATTGAGGATCTGGGGAAGAGTCCAAAGCAAGACGGTATGATGGATGTGGAATGGGGGACAGGAGCGGCTGACTGGGAGGGGAAAGGAGTGGAAGGGGAGGGAGTGGCATGGGGACAGGTTGAAGGCGCCAAAGGAGGGGACGATGGTGAAGCGGTTGGGGAGGATGTTGAAGCGGTTGGGGAGGATGTTGAAGTGGTTGGGGAGGATGTTGAAGCGGTTGAGAACGATGGTGAAGCGGTTGAGAACGATGGTGAAGCGGTTGGGGAGGATGGGAGTGATGCGCACGATGGGAGTGATGGTGATGATGGGGATGATGGGGAGAGTGAGGGTGATGAGGGTGATGGGGGTGATAGGGATCAAGGGGAACAGGAAGCAGTTGAGGCGAGAAAAGGAGTGGGGTCTTGTGGGATGGCCGAAACGGGCAGTCTAGAGGGGGGCACAGATATGCATGTTTCTGGTGGGGGGGAAGCAGAGGAAGGGGTGGGGGAAGGGCCTATTTTTGAGTCGACTCGGAAAGGGCCACCAGAGGAGGGTGATGAGAATGAGGCGTTTTTTTCAAGGGATGCGCAGGAGTTGCAGCATATGGAAAGCGAGAGTAGGGTGAGTTTGGGTGACCGGGTGAGTGCAGGGGAGGGCGGGGAGGAGCTGGGGAAGGAATATGTGAATGAAGAGGAGGGAGTGGAGGAGGAGGAAGAAGAGGAGGAGGAGGAGGAGGATGATGAGGAGGAGGACGAGGATGAGGAGGATGAGGAGGATGAGGAGGAGGAGGGGGAGGGGGGGAAGGAGGAAAAGGGAGAGGAAGAGGCAGGGGAACAGCATGAACATGATTGTGGGCAGGAGGGGGAGGAGGGGGAGGAGGATCATATGGATGACTGTGTTGGGGGAGGGGCGATGGAGATGGAGGATGGCGGAGAGGAAGGAGAGGGAGGGGACGAGAAGAATCAGGAGGTGGGTAGAAGTGAAGACAGAGAGTCGAGGGAAGAGCATAGAAGCTATGCAAGTATGGAGCGGCTGGGGTTGTTTGGGGAGAGCGATGAGGGTGGTGTGATGAGATACCATGGAGAGGAGGACGAGGTGGAAGGAATGGATGGTGCTGCTGGTGAAGGTGCTGATGGGGATGGCGGTGATTATAGTTATGGGGAAGGGAGGACAGGTGGTGAAGAGTTTGGGATGCAGGAGGGTTATGAAGGTGGTTTGGGCAGTGGGGAGGGCATGGGTGGGTTTATGTTGGAAGGAGGGGAGATGGGTGAGGAGGTGGGAGGAGAAGGGAATTTAGGGAGAGATGGGCTGTGGACTGAGGAGCATCATGTGTTGGTGGTGGAAGGGAAGGAGGAGAGGGGGATGAAACAGGTGCTCGATGTTCAACTGGTGGGCCCTTGTGTGGAGAGAACGGAGGAGGAGGAGGAGGAGGAGAAGGGTGGAAGAGAGTGGATGGAGATGGAGGAGGGTGGTTGGAGGAAAGGAATGGATAGTGAGGAGAAACTGGGAGGAAATGGTGGGATGGAGACCGCAGGCTGTATTGGAGAGGCGGTGGTGGGTTTAGAGAGGCACGGGGCAGGGATAAGTGGCAGTGAAAGGAGAAGAGAGAGCGGGTATATGGGGAACAAAGGCAAAGTGACAGAGGAAGGGGGTTCAAAGGAGGAGGATAGGGAGGATGAGTGGTGGGACGGCTGGGGAGATAGTGCGTGGTGTGACGAGAATGCGGAAGAGGGTGAGGTTTGCTGGAGTGATGAGGAGGATTCTGAGAAGGACTCTAGAAGGGGTACCAGAGGAGAGAGGATATTTGCGGAAAGGGCTCTCTCGGCCCGATCCAGAGGCAAGAGCAAGGGCAAGGGCAAGGGCAAGGGCAAGGGCAAGGGCTCTAGAGCGAAGGCGAAGCGCGGAAGCAGGAGGAAAGGTAGAGTGGAAGAGAGAGGAGGAGCAAAGGCACGGAAAGCTGGGCGTGGTAATTTGAAAGGCGGTGCCGGGTCTGTGAGAGGTGGTGGGAAAGGCAGCAGCGAAAGCGCAGGGGATGCTGAGATGAACGAGGCGGACGGTGCTGGAGTAGCGGCTGCAGGGGGGGCTTTGGAGGGGTTTAAGAAAGACGATTCCCTTGGGTCGGGCAATGCCGGTGGGGATTCCGTTGGGGGGAGGGGCATTGAAATCGGTTCAGATGGTGTTGGTGGGAAGGGAATGAAGGAGGCTGGGGATAGCGGTGGTTTGCAGGAGGGACGAGGAGAGAGTATGCCGGGAGAGGGAAGGGGAAAGGAGGTGGGAGGCGATATGGAGTGTGGGGGGGAAGGAGGAGGAGCTGCTGGTGTAGAAACAAGTGTATTGGATTCAAGTGAAGGAGAAGAGGATGAGGAGGAGGAAGAGGAAGAGGAAGAGGAGGAAGAGGAAGAGGATGAGGAAGAGGAGGAGGAGGAGGAGGAAAAAGAGGAGGAGGATGAGGAGGACGAGGAAGAGGAGGAAGATAAGGAGGAAAAAGAGGAGGAGGAGAAGGAAAAAGAGGAGGAAAAAGAGGAAATGGAGGAGGAGGAGAAAGAGAGAGTTGAGGTGAAACAAGAAGAGACGATGGAGGAGGGGGAGGAGGAGGATAGTGAGGAGGATGCGGAGAGTGAGGAGGATGAGGAGAGTGAGGAGGAGAGTGAGGAGGATGAGGAGAGTGAGGAGGATGAGGAGAGCGAGGAGGAGGAGGGGAGTGAGGAGGAGGAAGAAGGGGGGGAGGAGGAAGGGGGGGAGGAGGAGGAAGAGGAGGAGGAAGAGAAGGAGGATGAGGAAGAGGATGAAGAGGAGGCGGAGGAGGAGGAGGAGGAGGAGGAGGAGGAGGAGGAGGAGGAGGAGGAGGAGGAGGAGGAGGAGGAGGAGGAGGAGGAGGAGGAGGAGGAGGAGGAGGAGGAGGAGGAGGAGGAGGGGAGGGGGGGAAGGGGAGGAAAAAGTGGAGGAGGAAGAGAAAGTTGATTCAAAAGAGGAGAGGATGGAGGAGGAGGAGGAGGGGGGGGAGGAGGAGGGAGAGGAGGAGGAAGAGGAGGATGAGGAAGAGGATGAAGAGGAGGAGGAGGAGGAGGAAAAAGAGGAGGATGAGGAGGACGAGGAAGAGGAGGATGAAGAGGAGGAAGAGGAGGTGGAGGAGGAGGAGGCGGAAGAGGAGGGGGAGGAAGAAGAGGAGGGAGAGGGAGAAGGGGAGGAGAGTGAGGTCAGTGCAAGTGCTTCAGATGATTCCGACGAGGACAGTGAATTGGAGAACGAAGCTAGAACTGCTCTGGACTTTTGGGGGTTCTTGTGGGATGGGGATGGGGATGGGGCAGGGGATGAATCGAGTGAGGCATGGGATGAGTCTTATGATGATGATGTTTTGGAAGAGGGGGAGGAGGAAAACGAGGAGGAGGAAGAAGAAGAGGAGGAGGAGGAGGAGGAGGAGGAGGAAAATGAGGAGGAGGATGAGGAGGACGAGGAAGAGGAGGAGGAAGAGGAGGAAGAGGGGGAGGAAGGGGAGGAAGGGGAGGAGGAAGAGGAGGAAGGGGAGGAGGAGGTGGAGGAAGGGGAGGAGGAGGAGGAAGAGGAGGAGGAGGAAGGGGAGGAGGAGGAGGAAGAGGAGGAAGAGGAAGAGGAGGAGGAAGAGGAGGAGGATGAGGAAGAGGAGGAGGAGGAGGAGGAAAACGAGGAGGAGGATGAGGAGGACGAGGAAGAGGAGGAAGAGGGGGAGGAAGAGCAGCAAGAGGAGGAGGAAGAGGAGGAGGAAGAGGAGGAAGATGAGGAGGAAAATGAGGAGGAGGAAAAAGAGGAGGAAAAAGAGGAGGAGGAGGAGGAAAAAGAGGAGGAGGAGGAGGAGGAGGAGGAGGAGGAGGAGGAGGAGGAGGAGGAGGAGGAGGAGGAGGAGGAGGAGGAGGAGGAGGAGGAGGAGGAGGAGGAGGAAAAAGAGGAAAAGGAGGAGGAGAAAGAGAGAGTTGAGGTGAAACAAGAAGAGAAGATGGATGAGGGGGAGGATGAGGAGAGTGAGGAGGATGAGGAGAGTGAGGAGGATGAGGAGAGTGAGGAGGAGGAGGAGAGTGAGGAGGATGAGGAGAGTGAGGAGGATGAGGAGAGTGAGGAGGAGGAGAGTGAGGAGGATGAGGAGAGTGAGGAGGATGAGAGTGAGGAGGATGAGGAGAGTGAGGAGGATGAGGAGAGTGAGGAGGAGGAGGAGGAGAGTGAGGAGGAGGAGGAAGGGGGGGAGGGGGAGGAGGAGGAGGAGGAGGAGGACGAGGAGGAGGAAAGGGAGGAAGGGGAGGAAGGGGAGGAGGAAGAGGAAGGGGAGGAAGATAAAGAGAGAGTTGAGGTGAAACAGGAAGAGGAGATGGAGGAGCGGGAGGAGGAGAGTGAGGAGGATGAGGAGAGTGAGGAGGATGAGGAGAGGGAGGAGGATAAGGAGAGTGAGGAGGGTGAGGAGAGTGAGGAGGATGAAAAGAGTGTGGAGGATGAGGAGAGTGAGGAGGAGAGTGAGGAAGATGAGGAGAGTGAGGAGGATGAGGAGAGGGAGGAGGATGAGGAGAGTGAGGAGGAGGAGAAGAGTGAGGAGGATGAGGAGAGTGAGGAGGATGAGGAGAGTGAGGAGGAGGAGAAGAGTGAGGAAGATGAGGAGAGTGAGGAGGATGAGGAGAGTGAGGAGGATGAGGAGAGTGAGGAGGGTGAGGAGAGTGAGGAGGATGAGGAGAGTGAGGAAGAGGAGGAGGTGGTGGTGGAGGAGGAAGAGAGGGGGAGGGGAGAGGAGGAGGAGGAGGAGGAGGAGGAGGAGGAGGAGGAGGAGGAGGAGGAGGAGGAGGAGGAGGAGGAGGAGGAGGAGGGGGAGGAGGAAAAAGATGAGGGGGAAGAGGAGGAGGAAAAAGAGGAGGAGAACGAGAATGTTGAGGTAAAAGAGGAGAAGATGGAGGAGGTGGAGGAGGAGGGGGGGGGGGGGGAGGAGGGGGAGGAGGAGGAGGAGGAGGAGGAGGAGGAGGAGGAGGAGGAGGAGGAGGAGGAGGAGGAGGAGGAGGAGGAGGAGGAGGAGGAGGAGGAGGAGGAGGGGGAGGAGGAAGAGGAGGAGGAGGAAGAGGGGGAGGAAGAGGAGGAGGAGGGAGAGGTGCAAGGGGAGGAAGAGGAGGATGGAGAGTCGGGTAGCAGAGAGGAAGGAGAAGCAGATGAGGAAGATAGTGAGAGTGACTCCGGCGATAGTGATAGTGTTGAAGGGTTGGTGGGTGAGGGAGATGAGATGGAGGATACTCTTGCGACGTTGTCTTTTCAATTCGGAAAAGGGTTTGGGTTTTGGGAAGAGGAAGCAGGAAGAGGGAAGGGAAGAGGTCTGGTGAGTTTGGAGAGCGAGGGTGAAGGGCGAGGGATAGGGCATATGTCTGATGATGGGGAGAAAAAGGGTGAGGGAATGAGAGGAGGAGAGGGTGAGAGCGAAGGAGAGAATGGAGGGGTGTATGGGTGGGGGGATGGATATGAGGTTAAAGGGGAGGATGTGGATATGAGAGAGGGAGAGGGGGGTGAGGGAGGGGAAAGTGTGGAGCAGGAACAGGGCGATGAGAGTGAGGGAGTGGAGATGGGGAGTTTGGAAGGTGGTGAAGATGAAAGAGAGGAGGAGGAGGAGGAGCAGGAAGGTGAAGGGGAGGAGGATGAGAATGAGGAGGAAGAAGAAGAGGAGGAGGGTGTTAGCAATGGGGGGTACAAGCAAGAGGAGGGTACAAGCAAGAATAACGGTGATGTTTATGTGGACCAGGGTGCTTCTTGCGAAGCGGCGAAATTAGGTGAGGAGGCAGGGGAGGTGGGATGGGCAGCGGGGTATGCATTGATGCAGGGGCCGGGGAGTGGAGGTGGGGTAGATATTGCAAGGTGGCAGGGGCCGGGGAGTGGAGGTGGGGTAGATAGCGCAAGGTGGCAGGGGCCGAATGAACTTTTGGTCACGACAGGGTTTGGGGATGAGGGCCAGATGAAAGGAGGAATGCAGGTGGAGGTGGGGGTAGGGGGCAGTGGGGGTGAGGTGGAGGAGAAGGAGAGAGAGGGGTTGGGGGACAGTGAGCGGAAGGAGGAGAAGCAAAAGGAATCAGAGGAGGAGGATGGTGATGGTGATGCTGATGAAGAGGAGGAGGAAGAGGAGGATGATGATGATGATGATGATGGGTTGTTAGATGCTGAGCTGGCAGTAGCAATGGAAGCAGAGGGGATGGAGGAAGAGGAGCAGTATGGTGAGGGAACGGGTGGTGCGGGCACGAGTGAACGGACGGATGAGGCCAGCGGGAAGGTAAAAGAATGGGGTGGAGTAGGGGTTAAGATCGATAGCGCTAGTGATGATGGTGCAGAGGAAGAGGAGTGGATGCTCGGGGAGGAGTGGATGTGTGGGGTTATGGCGGGGCAATTGGGGATGAATCAGGGCGGGAAAGGGAAGGGGGTAGAGGTTTGGGAGGTGAAAGGTGGAGGTGAGGAGGAAGGCAAGAGAGGTGAGGGTGAGGGGGGTGAGTTTGGAAGGGGGGAAGGGGTAAGGGTTTATGGTGGGCCTGGGGCGGAGGAGTGGCAGGTGAAAGGAGAGGGACGTTTGGTAGAGAGCGGTGGGAATGAGGGGGTGGGGGAAGAGAGGGAGGTGGAGGAGGATGGGGGAAAGGAGGAGGGGGAAGGACTGCAGTGGGACGCAGAGGGAGATGATGATTCAGACGAGGATGAGGAGAGTGAGGAGAGTGAGGAGGAGGGGGAGAGTGAGGAGGGGGAGAGTGAGGAGGGTGAGGAGACTGAGGAGGATGAGGAGAGTGAGGAGGATGAGGAGAGTGAGGAGGAGGGGGGACGACTAAAGTGGGACGTGGAGGGAGATGATGATTCAGACGAGGATGAGAGTGAGGAAGAGGGGGAGGATGAGGAGGAGGAAGAAGAGGAAGAGGATTTTGGGGAGGAGTGGGCAAGAAAAGAACACGAGGCGGACGGAGAGGAGGAAGACGAAGAGGAAGAGGAGGAATCTGAGGAGGACGATATGGTGGAAGGGGAGGAGAGTGAAAGCGGGAGTGATGAGGATGGAGAAGAGGAAGACGAGGACGAGGAGAGTGGTGGTGATGATGAGGAGGAGGGTTTGATGGTAAAGTGCGAGCAGGAGGAGGAAAAAGAGGAGGAAGAGGAGGAGGAGGAGGAAGAGGAGGAAGTGGGGCTAGGAAAGTTGGGGGATTGGACCCTGGAGGGGGGAAGTGAAGAGAGTAGCGAGGACATTGGTGAGAGTGAGGAGAGTAGCGAGGACATTGGTGAGAGTGAGGAGAGTAGCGAGGACATTGGTGAGAGTGAGGAGAGTAGCGAGGACATTGGTGAGAGTGAGGAGACAGAGAGGGAAAGGGAGGAGAGTGAGGAAAGCGAGAGAGAGAGTGGGGAGGGTGAGTGGAGTGAGGAGAGTGAGGGGAGTGAGGAGAGTGAGGATTGTGAGGAGAGTGAGGGAAGTGAGGAGAGTGAGGGAAGTGAGGAGAGTGAGGGAAGTGAGGAGAGTGAGGGAAGTGAGGAGAGTGAGGGAAGTGACTTATGTGGGAGTGTGTCAGAGGAGCGTAGGGAGAGTGATCTTGGCATGAAAATTCTTTACGAGTCCGATTCAGACGAATCGGAGGCTGGGGGTCTCAACAGAACGGTTGCCATGGGTGCAAGTGACGAGTCTGGTGCCGATGGCAGTGATTTCTCAGAGGAGCTCGAGCTTTATCTCCCCGGGGAGTCTGAATTGTTTTGCTTTTCAGATCGCCACCCGTCGGACCCTCGTTACCTGTTGGATGTAGAGTGCTGCTGGACTGACCGTGACTCGTTCAGTGACGATGCACTAGCGTCACAATGTGATTCTCTGTCCCAAAGTTCAGAGTGCGATTCTCTGTCTAGCTATACTTCCCAGAGTTCTGGTAGTTTTAGAAACGCTAACAGCTTCGGGAGCTCTAGGGGGTTGGGGAATTTAAGAAGTGATTCTCCCATTTTCTCACCTACTCCAACCGCTTCTGACCCCCTCTTACCCTCCTCTCAAGTTAACCGTTGGCCCTCCATCATTTTGCAGTCATCTCTTCCGCGCTCTGCCTCCGTACCAGTTCCATCCTCCCCGGACTCTTCGCCCGGAAGGCTTGCAGCACTCTCAGACTCTCTGGCTTCGTCTCTTCCGTCTTCCTCAGCTTCTCTCGGGCCGGTATTGGAAGCTCTCCTTCCCAGCAGGAGCAGCGCCAGGGCGAGGGCCAGGAGGAAGCAGCGGCGGAAGCGGCGTGGCAAGAGGCTGAGTGGGAAACCGAGTGTGAAGGTGGGAGAGGAGCACCCGTGGGTGTTTCCGGATACTCTTTGGAGGCCGTTTGGCTCTTGGGCTTGTGAACCAGATGCTCTGGGAGGCGGAGGAACGGCAGTGGGGTTAGCTGTGGAGGAACGGAATGGGGGAGGGAGAGCGGAAGCAGGAGCAGCAACTGTTGTTACTCGCTGTGGGTCGTGTTTAAGGCGGGGCTGCTGTGATGCTGTGGGTTTTTCTCGGGGGTTTTGTGGTTGTTGTGAGTGCTTCGGTGGGAGAAAGGCGAAGCGAAGGAGAGGTGAGGCGAGTGGTGGTGTTGCTGCTGCTGCTGCTGCTGCTGCTGCTGCTGATGGTGGTGGTGGTGGTGATGATGGTGGAAAAGGAGGATGGCGCACACCTGCAAGCACGTCAACAGCAAGAGGTCACCGCAGATACAGCCACCAATGCCAAGAGGTCCCATTGCTTTCCTCACACCACCAACATCAACACCAATGTCAGCATCAGCACAAGCGCAGACATCGATCCAAGCAGCAACAGCACCACTACCGCCATCACCAGCAGCAGCTGCACACACGCCTATCATCGTTACCATCACCACCACCGCTACCATCATCGGAACACACGTCTCCTCCTGTCGCTTTCACCACAGAGCGTGCCTTGGCCCGCCTCGTCCTGCCCTGTCTCGCGCGCGCTTCAGACGAAGCCCGGTCCGGGTTTGCCCAAGACGTCATACAGCAATTCTCCTCCCTCCACACCTTCGTCTCTGCAAAGCCTTTCGCCGCTATCTCGCTCGATGGCTCTGCACTTCCTGGGGGGGGGTCTCCGTTTGGGTCGACTCGCAAGATAGTGGCTCCTGGGAGGGGTTTTGGGAAGCGTTTGGGTGGTGATGGTGGTACTGCTGCTGCTGCTGCTGCTGCTGCTGCAGTTCCTGCTGCTGCCGCAAGTGCTGGTGGTGCTGGTGCTGGTATTTCTACTGCTGTACCTGTAGTTGCTGGTGGGGCGGCATACCCTGGCTCGCGTAAGAGACCTGCCTGTACAGGGAATGAGAATCCTGATCGTGGCGATACTGGCGGTGCTGCTGGTGCTGCTGGTGCTGGTGGTGAGGGTGCAGAGGGTGCAATCGAGTCCTCCTCGCCCCGTGCCTCACTCCACGGCCTCCACTCTGCCTTCTGGCTTCGTCTGCAGTTCCTCTTCCCGCTGCTGCCCATGGTTCATGCTGACAGGTGCGTGTGAGGATGTCTGTATGTATGTGCGCATGTGTGGATGGGTGGGTGGGTGGGTGGTGGTGGAATGGGTGGTGGTGATGGGGACTGGGTGGGCGGGCATGCATGTAAGCAGATGTTTTTTATAGCATGTATGTGGGCAGATGGTTTTTAGCATGTATGTGGGCAGATGTTTTTTATAGCATGTATGTGTGTGTGCCTTCCGCTTCCCTTTCCCCTCCTTATCCCCCTCCCTGTCCCCTGCTCATCCTCTCCCCACCTCTCTCTGTCCGCCTCTCTCTCTCCCCCATCCCCCCTATTTCCACCAACAGGGACTCCCGGTCAGACCCACCATCAGCTCGTGCTCCTTTTTGAGTCGACTCAAAAATAGACCTCTCTCTGTCCCCCTCTCTCTCTCTCTCTCCCCCATCCCCCCTCTTTCCACCAGCAGGGACTCCCGGTCAGACCCACCATCAGCGCGTGCTCCTATGCCCCGCAACATGCGCCGCTCCCTCACTCTCACCCTCCTCCACCTCCTCGCCTCCTCCGCCATCCAATGCCCCCTCCCTGCCCCCGCTTCCCCATCTCTCCCGCTCATCTCTCCTCTGCTCGCCCTAACCTGGTCGGGCACTTTCCCGTTGCTCCACCGACCCACTAACAAAGCTTATGCTTCAAACACCGTGGGAATGAGAGAAGCGCCGTGGCGGCTTCTTATTCAGCAGCAGCAGCAGCAGCAGCAGCAGGAGGGGGGGGCATCAGGAGACTTGTTATTCGACACGCTTCTATCCATCTTCTATGCCCTGCTCACTCCCTCCTGGCCTGTCTGGCTTCGACCCTCTCCGTCCTCCTCCTCCTCTTCCTCTTCCTCGTCCGCGCTCCCTCTCCCTCTCCCTCCCTCATCCACGTCCTCCCCATTGCACAAGCCGCTCAAGGACGTGGCTCCTCTTGACCCTGACATGCTGGAAATGCTACAAGTGAGCAAACAGACCATAAAGCATGCACCGTGCACCATGCACCATTCATTCATCGACTCATTAGGAGCGACTTGTGGTCGACTCAAAATGCATGTGCACCCCCGCTCTTCACCAATCCAATGCAGTTTCACAGTTTGGCCCATTTTCCAGTCCTCCTCTCCCCATCCCTCTCCATGCCGCTTCACAGTTTAACGCCAACCATGCCAACCATGCCAACCATGCCTTGGCCTGCCCTCTAGACTTTTGACGTTTTGCTCACAGCCCCTTTCACCCCCTATCCCTCCCCTTCCCATCACGCCCCCTCTTGTTTCTTCTTTCTTCTTCTTCTTTCCTTCTTTCTTCTTCTTTCCTTCTTCTTCTTCTTCTTCTTCTTCTTTTCAGGCGGGAATCGACTCTCTCTTCCCCGACCCTGCTCTCTGGTCCCGCCTGCAATCCGCCCTCCCCGTCCTCCCCTCGCCTCCGCCAGTCACCATTTCCGCCGCTCCCCCAGAACCCTCTCCCCCTCTCCTCGCGGCAGCTGCTGCCGCATCAGCAGCAGCAGACGGCACACCTTTAGAACCCAGCATGATCCCTGCAGCCGTTGCCACTCCCATCCCTTCCACCGTCTTCTCCCCTCCGCCTTTACATGTGGCCTTTTCGCCCGGTCGGAATCGTGGCTCTAACCCTAAACTCCGGCTGCCACCTCTGATCGTCACCCGCTCGCTCTCCTCCCCTCACAGCCCTAGCCCCTGCCTTCGCCTCCCAGCCGCTCTTGTAGCAGGACTATCACCCGCAGCAGCAGCAGGTATAGGAGCAACGGCAGCAGGACCAGCAGCAGTACCAGCAGCAACAGGAGGAGCAGCAGCGTTAGGAGTAGGGTCAGGATCCGGGGGAGCATCCTCAGCAGCAGCAGCGGCAGCTGTAGCAGCTGCTGCAGCAGGTGCAGTGGCTGCATCGGCAGCAGCGGCTGCACCAGCAGCAGCAGATGGAGCAGAGATGGAGATAGATCCATGGTTATTACTTGAGGAATGTGCAGGAGGAACAGCCAGTCTAGGTCTTTCGGCCGCTGCTGCCGCCGCAGCTGGTGCTGCTGGTGGTGGTGGTGGTGAGTTTGCGGGAACGTGGGGGGCGGGTGGAGGGGATGCGGTGGCTGCAGCTCCCAAGGCGGTGGGGTGGCTGAGAGGGGCCGTGCGGCGCAAGCGCAAGGGGATTCTCTATGCCGTGGGGCATGAGGATGATGAGATCATCCGGTAGGGACGGGTGCATGGAGAGGAGGCTAGTTCTGAGGCGCCTCAAAACTGGATTCTGTATGCCGTGGGGCATGAGGATGATGAGATGAGATCATTCGGTAGGGAGGGGTGCATGGAGTGAACGTGCTGAGGAGCAGGAGGAGAAGGAGGGGAAGGAGCAGGAGAGGCCTCTCAAAAGGCGCAAGCGCAAGGGGATTCTGTATGCCGTGGGGCATGAGGATGATGAGATAATCCGGTAGGGAGGGGTGCATGGAGAGGGGAAGATGGAAGGTGGAAGGTGGAAGATGCTGAGGTGTAGGGGAGGAGGCGAGCCGACGAGCTGACGTGTAAAGTTGTCTCTTCAAGCACAGAGTGCACCCTCGGATCGGATCAAATGTTTGGTTACCAAGAAGCTACCGTGATTCTCCGATTGTGCAAGTGGTCCTCCTGGTGTCTTGGTTGAGTTGAGGCTTTGCCAAAACTGATACCTACCTGCATTTGATTTGGGATAAAAGTTAATCGAGCTGGGTTTTTGTGTGGGTTTCTGGGGTTCGGTTCGGTGGGTTAACAGTAAGAACAGTAACATGGTGTTTCTGGCTGGTTATCTAGCCTACGGCTGAAGTTTCTAGGGGGATGTTGCATATGCAACAGAATTCCTTAGCGGTAGGTTTTTACTCAAGTAGGTGTGCTAGTTGCAGTATCTAGAAGATACATGTAAATAGGACTGATGCTAACAGAATTTCAGTTTTGTAGACTGTTGTAGCTTCAGAACAGTATCAGGCTAGCACTGTAATGGATCAGCAGCAGCGATATTGTCGCACCAGAGGCAGCTTCTATGAGAGTAGAGAGAAAAACAGCTTAGGGTACGGTACTATACTACGGTAACAAGAAGACAGTGTACACAACAAGTGCCCATGGAAATTACTACTACCATATGACCATGGCCAGCACTCTGCACAACCATGTCATTGTCATATCACAATCATCACCTCACCATCACATGCCAACTGCCAACTCCCCACAGTTACGGTACCATCATAACAACCAAGCGCCCTGCCCTCCCCACCTGCAAATCCGACTTCAAGAGGCGCCCTCCCCTCATACAAGACAACCTAGGGCGAATTCTTCCGTTTCATCAGGTCTGAAAACAGCTTGGTCGGCGCAGAAAACCCCGCCTCCATCATTCCAAACATGGCTTTAATCTCCTCGTTCGGGTCATCCATGCCCTGCTTGCTCGGCAACCCCCTGATAGGCGCCAGCTTAGTACGCAGAGCAGCAACGGTATTGGCCAATATCTGCTTCTCCCGCGCCCGTAGCGCTGCTGCCAGCATTTCTCGCTCCTCTGCTGCGGCTGCCTCTGCTGCAGCAGCAGCTGACGCCCGTTCGGCTTCACTCACCGATTGCTTCTGCTGCTGCCCCCCACCAAAACCCCCGAAAAACCCTCCAAAAACCCCACCCCCGCCGCTGCTGCTGCTGCTGCTCTCGGCATTTGCCGCGGCGGTGGCGGCGGCGGAGGCGGCGCCGGCGGAAACGGCGGAGCCGAGATTGAGCAGCCGGAGGTCGTCCTCCAGAGTCTGCGGGAATTCCGCGACCCGGTCGTTACAGTCACGCAGCAGGATCTGCAGCGCCTCGTACTCGTTCGCCTCCGATAGCATCACATCGCGCTCGAAGCTGATTCCCGCGAGTTGCGCCGCGTCCTGGAGCCGCGCGAGCCGCATGAACGCGATCAGCTGACGTGGAAAGCGGTCCGTGAAAAGCGGAAACATCTCCGATGCAGACAGCCCCTGGTCGTTTAGAATCTGCCGCTTGAATTCCAACAGCGGGTCGCCAGGAACGAGCGAGACTGGCAGCAGAAGGAAATCGGACGGCGAGGGGCGCGGCACGAAGCCATACGTGAGGAGGAGATCCGCCGGGGTACGATCCTGGCCGTACGATGCGAGGAGAGGATCGCCGGAAGAGAGATCAATGTGGGAACGAAGAACCACGCATTGCGACGCGGGGTCAAAATCGAAAGAGGACGGCGGAGGAATAGCCGGGTTAGAGGGTGCGGGCGAGTGGTTAACTAGATCTGCCAAGGGAATCAAGGCGAATAAGTCGACCGAGGGGAGGTACACGGCACGCGACAGCACCACAGCAAAGGCTTTCTTAAAAGACTCCGGAGAAAAAGGAGCGGAGGCTGGAGAGGTCGGGAAGGAACTAGGGTCCGCGTCAAAATGCGTGGCTTTAAGAACGCTATACACCGCTTCCATTTCCGCCACCCGGCCGTCAATCTCGTCGGCGATCGTCGTGCCGGCCAGCAGCCGCTGCCGGTCGTCTGCCAGCCAAAGCAGCGGCGATGACGTGGCTTCCGAGAAAGTGCGAATGTACGGAGCCCAGAGCGACGCGTCACCCTGAGAGCGCTCCCACATCAGCCAAAGAGTCAGCCCGACCAAATCGCCACGTCCCTCCGCCGCCTTCGCCACCACTGGGTGCTCCGCCACGTCGACTGACGTCACGACAAAATTCTCCGGCACCCGCAGCGCCACTTGGCCCTTTTTAATTGGCTCCTTGGCGGAGAGCCCGATTCCCGCCGCTCCGGCGTCCGCGGGCGCAACAGGTTGCGCGGGAAAGCCCGCGGAGGCGAGCCATTGCGCTAGTTCCGTTGCGCGCGCCAGGCGGGTCTTGTTTGAGCCTGCGGCTCCAGCCACTCCCGCGGCGACTGCGGAGATCACTCCGCGGCGGATGCGGCGGGAAGATGCCCGCGCGTGCGGAAGCGGAGAGGCAGAGAAAAGGCTCCGGCGCCCCGCACCAGCGAGCGCTGCGCATGAGAGCGAAGAGAGGGAGGCTTGCGCGGTGGTTCGCGCGGCGTCGCGAGTCGCATGCCTCGCAGACCGCTGCGGCGCTGTTCGAAAGGCCGCGCGTGCGGTGCTTTGTACCGAGATCTCCATCCCGCGAGGTTCGATGCGGAAAGAGGAGCTTAGAGATTACGGAAAGCCTGACCCAACGCTTTGACGGCGAAAAAACCTCACGATAGCTTGGCGACGGCCTCGCGACTGCCCGACGAGCGGCGAACTAATGCTCCACGTCGCAGGTGTTTCAAGGCGATGTCTGCGACAGGCCAAGCTATGGCACCACCGAGGTCTGTTCTGAAACTTGAGTCTGTTGACGATGAGACAGACGGGCCAAAAACTCAAGACGAAGATGAAAGAACGGTAGGAGAGTCGCATTGCAAGGAAGAGGTTGGGGGAAAGTGGAGCGCAAATGATCGGTTATGAATGTTCGACAAAGGTTTATTTTACTAAAGTCACGGTTTGAAGGGTTTCAAACCTGTTGTGTTCGGAGGAACTTTTTGGGAATGACGAGTGGGGGGGACGAGAACTGTACACAGCATGGCTTGTGGGGGTTATGTGGCACTACGGGGATTTCGCGAAAGCCACGTGTCTTGCAGTGATTGTCTGACGCTTTCGAGGCGGGGTGGGGTGCACAATGAACAACCACCTCGTAACTCCATTACAGACAGGATAGCCTGAGACGACCAGTGAAGGGGATCATTTAAAGGCTTGCCTAATATAGAAAAGAAAAGGGAGAACTACAGAAAAAAATACGTGCTCCAATATATCACAAAAGAGTGCGTTTCTTCGCTGTATTCATATACGGCCGAATAACCCACTCGTTTTCAGCCTCTGGCTGGTCCATTGTTCCCAACTTAATCTGCCCAGAAAACACCATAAACAGAAATAACAGCATAAGCAGCAATCCCGAACAAACATTCTAAATTACAGCGTCAAAGGCAACCGTAACATCACACTGGAGCAGGCGAAATAAAAAGGGAGAGGCGCCACATACCTGGTACAACCGGAGCTCAAATCTAGGCCCGACTTCCTTGAGCTGTAGAGACTTGGGACCTTGAGGCTTCTCGTATACGTGGTGTCTATGCACAGAGGAACAGCCGTGCATGATGGGCGGAGGAGCAGGGTTTAAACGTCAAGGAATATGAACCAACTGGTGTAACAAACAGTAACCAACAACTCTGGCGGACAGTAACCAGCCGCAGCGCTAGCAACAGACTCAGAGAAGCAGCAGGAGCAGAGGAACAGGAGGAGCAGCAGCAGGCGCAGCGAAGAACAGCAGCAGGCACTGACCGGAAGGAGATGTAGTCGGACTGGTTGGCAAATGTGATGACACGCTTGGAGTCAGGCTTGGGCACCGGGAAGAGATACTTGAGAATGTTGCTCGTGCGCTGCCCCAACTGCAACCACCATGCCATGCATGAGGGCAGGGTGCAGAGGGGGAGGGGATAGGGGGTAGGGGATAGCAGGGGGTAAGGGCAGGGGGGGCAGGGGACAGGGGGCAGGGTGCGGGAAACCAGGAGTGACGAACAGGGATTTGGGATCGGAGGTGAGGAGCGAGAGGCCAGAAACGAAAGGAGGGAGGGAGGCAAGAACCGGACCGGGTGGAAGGGAAGAAGGGGAAGAAATGAGAGGTGAAGAGTGGGACAAGTGAGGAGCACAAGGGGTAGTGCATGCGTGGTGGTGGTGGCAAAAGAGGCAGGGGGGGGGAGGAGGGGGGGGGAGATCGGATGTGGGGAAGCGGCAAGGGGAAAGGGCGGGCGAAAGGGTGGGGAGAAGGGGCGGGGGGGAAGGTTGGGGGGAAAGGGTGGGGGAAAAGGGTGGGAAGAAGGGGCGGGGGGAAAGGGTGGGGGGAAAGGGGGGGGGCGGGGGGGGGGGGGGGGGGGAAGGGGAGATGGGAGAGAAAAGGAACAGGGAGAGGGAGAGGGGTACATTTGGGGTGCGTTGGTGTGGAAAAGAGTACCAAAAGGAGTACCTTGGTGGAGAAGTTATCGAGGATGAGGTGTGGGTATGCCTCTGACATGGTGCCTATTGTGGCTCTGTCCTGAATGTCATGCCGTGTCACCTGTTTCACACACACACACACACACACACACACGCACACACACACACACACACACACACACACACACACACACACACACACACACACCAGCACGCACAGCAGCAGTACCACACGCAATGCAGAAGCAGCACAGGCACACAGCAGCAGCAGCACCCAGGAGGGTGAAAACACGAAATGGGGAGATGTGGGAGTGGAGGAGTGAGGAGCGCAGAGGGCAAACGATGGTCCAGATGAAGTGGAGGAAGAAAGGGGCGGGAAGGGGAGAGGGGGGGTGTTGGGAAGAGGGGGTTTGGGGCCACGGGAAAGGCAGCTATAAAAGGCCCGAGAAAGGAAAAGGAAACAAAAAAAAACGGGGAGAAGGAGAAGAAGTAGAAAAAGGCCGAAGTAGGCCCAATGAGACAAGACAACGAGCCTAAGAGTAGGCCCAATGATACAGTGCTTGTATTCTCTACACGTCTACAAGGCAGGTAGCAAGCAAGACCCCAAGGCAAAGGCCCGCACCACACCACGTTGAGGAGGCCGAAGTAGGCAGTGGGGCCGTAGGGTAGGTGGCAGACAACGAGCCCGTCCGGCTGCCCCCTGCCTGCACCTTGCCTCCCCCCCTGCCCCACTCCCTGCGCCCTGCCTGTCCCCCTGCCCCCATGAGACCCCCTATGTGAGAGAGAGGGTACGCACCACATTGAGTAGGCCGAAGTAGGCAGTGGGGCCGTAGGGCAGGTGGCAGACGACTAGCCCGTAAGACTGCCTAGATCCCCCTGCCTGCCCCCCTGCCCCCATGAGACCCCCCTTATATGAGAGACTGCAGAGAGAGGGTACGCACCACGTTGAGCAGGCCGAAGTAGGCAGTGGGGCCGTAGGGCAGGTGGCAGACAACGAGCCCATCGGGCTGCCCCCTGTGCTCGTGCACCACTATGATGTCTGTGAACGCACTGCTGCGCGCCGATGCCACTATCTCGTTGATCACCTGAAGGGAGGGGGGGGGGGAAGGGGATGGAGGGCAGCAGAAGGAGGGGAGGAGTGGCTTTTGAGAGTTCCCAAGAGCCCGTCAGGCTGCCCCCTGTGCTCGTGCACCACTATGATGTCCGTGAACGCACTGCTGCGCGCCGATGCTACAATCTCGTTTATGACCTGGTGGGGGGGAGGGGAGTGGAGGGGAGAGAGAGAGGAAGAAAGCAGAGTTGGAGCGCGACTTTAGAGCCGCCTCAAAAGGATTTCCAGGCGCAACTTCCCCAACCAACCCGACCTGCCTCCAGCCCCACCAATTCTCCCCTCAGACCCATCTGGCCTCCGCGGTTGATGTGCTGAGCATTGGGGAAGACGAACGATCTTGAGCTCCTTGACAAACTGCGTGAGGCGGGTTAAACGGGTTTTCCAGGTGCCTCCCAACCCAACTCACAACGCAATAACCCAACCCACCTAGTCTCCCCGCACCGCAGTCCCACCCCAACCTTCCCTATCCGCACCTGCCCTCCGCGGTTGATTCTCTGCGCGTTGGGGAAGACGATCTTGAGCTCCTTGACGAACTGCGTGAGGCGGCTGCTGGGGTCGCGCGACGTGGTCAGCAGCACGCGCGGGTCCTCCTCGCCCGCCCTCGCATACTCGTCGTCCACATGTGATCGCGGCTCTGGGGAGCAGAGGGGGAGCAGAAGGGGAAGAGGGGAGGGAAGCGGGGGGAAGGGGGGAGGGGGAGGGGGGGGGAAAGAGAGGGAAATGGTGAGGCGGGTCCTCCTCGCCCGCCCTCGCATACTCGTCGTCCACATGTGATCGCGGCTCTGGGGAGGCGCAAGGGAGGTGGGGGAGGGGGGGGGGGATGGCGGGGAGTAGAGGGGAATCGTGAGAAGCACACGCGGGTACTCCTCGCCCGCCCTCGCATACTCGTCGTCCACTTGCGACCGCGGCTCTGGGGGACAGCAACGGCAGGGAAGGGGAGGCGGGGAGGCGTGGACGAGAAAGGAGGCGGTGAGCAGACTTTAGAGTGAACGCATGGGTTCACTCAAAAGTCACCACGTGCGCCCGTGGCTCTGTGGAGGGAAGAATACCGACCAAACCCACCAAACCCGCCAAATTCCCCAAATCCCTCAAACCCTACAAACCCTCCAAACCCGACCCCTGATCCCCCACCTGATCTCCCTCCGTTAGCTCCCCCTTTCACCCGTCCCCCGTCCCCCATCCCCCCTTTCCATGTCCCCCGTCCCCCGGCTCCCCGCGTTACCCGCGGTGTAGTCGTCTTCAAGGTCGATCTCGTCCCGCAGCGCCAACGCCTCTTTGGGTGCCCCAAACCCGTCAAACCCCCGAACCCGTCAAACCCCCAAACCCTTCTTCCAATCTTTCGCCTGACCCCCCGTCCCCCGCACCCCGTCCCCCCGGCTCCCCGCGTTACCCGCGGTGTAGTCGTCTTCGAGGTCGATCTCGTCCCGCAGCGCCAACGCCTCGTTGCGCAGCTCCGTGGGAACCGGCCGACCCTCTGGTGGCCAGAAAGACGAGAGATAGGAGGGAGGCCAAGGGAGGGATGCGAGAGGAGGAGCACGCAAAGAGACGCGCGAGTATTGAGGCGGGATGAAGCATCGTCGAATCGCACGCGGAGGTGCGCGCGAGAGACGGAGGAGAAGAAACAGAAGAACAAGACGGCGGAGTACCGAAGCCAGGAAAGAAATTCCGGAGAATAGGGAAGGGATACGAGCGCCCTATTGCTGATAGGTGAATGGAGAAATGCAATGAGACGGCGGGAAGAAAGGGCGGACAGACGGGCGGAAAGATCAATGCTACGCACGAATAGCGTGCACTGCGCAGTGAATCGCGCATAGCGCACAGTGCGAACAGCGCACAGCGCGTAGCGCAAAGCGCGCACAGCGAACAGCAGAGCGCGTGGGCGCGCAAAGCGCAGAGCGCGTCGTGGGCGCGCACCTTGCAGCGCCTGGCGGATCTTGAGCTTCTTCTCGTACTGCACGCGCTCCTTGCCCTCCAGGTTCTTGCGGTACAGATACTCGCGCCGCAGCCGCGCGTTGCGCCGAATCATCGCGCCGACCGCGCTGGATTCCTGGGAGTGTTGGGCCGAAACGGGGGAGGCTCGCTGCGGCTACGAGCTACTGCGATGCTGCGTGTGGAGTGCTTAGTCTAGGGTTTCTGCGGGGTTCGTCATGGGCTATCGTGAAGGGTGAAGGAGGTTTGCAGCAAGCTTTTGAAAACTTGTGCCAGTTGCCGTAGCGGTTTCTTGGGTACTACCGTATGTACCGTAGCGGTTCAGAGCGGTGAATCGAACGAACCGCTTTGCTTAGCAGCGTGAAGGACCTTACATCCGTTTATGATAATGAGAACAACATTATAAATTTGGCTGTTCAGGATAGAAATGCAACGGTAACTCAAGAAAAAAACAAATGACTGAGGTTGCACAAAGGGGAAAGAGGCTTGTTAGAGCAGATCTTATCACATGCGTTTTCACATCTTGTACCTAATGTGTACCACATTACAGAAACAGTGTACGAAAAAAAAGTTGGCCTTCGGATTCGGATCCAATTCAGGCACCGTACAACCAGACTGCTCCTAGTCTGCTACTGTTGTACATAATCGAACAGTGTGCAACAAGGGAATGGGGAAAATAACCAGCTGAACTGGCCAAAGAATCAGACGGATCCAGCTAAGCATCAGAACCCCAGCCACGAAAAGAGGCCCTTCTTTGCGTTGCCTTGAGAGGCCGACGAGTCTGGAGGCACAGTTTCAGAGCCACCACCTCCATCACTTGAAACGCCTGATGATCCCGAGGAGGAATTGGAAGCTGGATCAGTAGCGCTTGCACCAGCAGAAGCAGCAGAACCATCTTCAGAAGCTCCTAACATGTTGGACCCCTCAGGTTCTACCGAAGGATGAGAGCCTTGCGCAGTAGCAGTAGCAGCAGCAGCAGCAGCAGTAGCAGTATTGTTCGATGCACCTTCCTCAGCAGTTCCTTGGATGCTAGCGTCCCCCCCTGTACCTTGCTGCTGTTCCACATCTTGATTCTCGCGCTCTTGCCCTGCTTCCTGCTCTTGCCCTTGCTGCTGGCTGCCTTCCTCAGACCCATCTGAACCGCCTCGCACTCCCCCTTGTTCGCTGGCTGAACCCGGAGCTGCTGCTGTAGCTGGGGAAGGGAGAGAGGCAGGAGCATGGCCAACAGCAGAAACCGCAGGCGTACTGGTGGTATCAGCTTCGCCCGAGTTGCCCGCGTTGCCTTTGCCTGCAGAAATCCCCTCAATGCTCTCACCCTGCTCCTCTCCTTTGCTGCTATCTGCCCCTTCCTTCTCTTCATCAGCCCCTTCCTCCTCGCCTCCCTTCCCCTTCTCACCACCTTTCCCTTCCCCAAGCGTACCTGCACCTTCTCCTTCCTCCTCACTGCTCACACGGTCCTTCGATCCTCCTGGAACATCCACTGAAGAAACACCTGAGAGTCCACCTGAGCCCTCACTACCGGCGCCACCAGCTCCCCGCTCTCTGTCCGCATCTCCTGACGCCTCTTTGGATGCTGAACCTTCCTCCACGCCATCTTTCTCGCTACTGCCATGTGGGCTTCCAGGCAACTCCCCAACTGCACTCCCTTTGCTTAATGCCGCCACTCCGCTTGTATCCTCTCGCTTCTCCCCTAGACCCCCGCCTTCTCTCGTCTCCTCTGCATGCCCCCCCTCCCCGTCACCCTTCTCTGTCGCAGCAGCCTTGATTATCGAGTCGTCCCCTTCATGGATTCCCCTGGTTGGTTCCTTTTCACCATGCTCACCGCTCCGCCTGCTGCCACTGCTGCTGCCACTGCTGCTGCCACTGCTGCTGCCACTGCTGCTGCCCTTGCCAGCACCACCATGCGCCTCCTCTTCCTCCACCTCACTTCCCTTTCCTTCTTTGCCAACATCTCTTCCCTTCTCCTTCTCCTCCTCCTCATCTCCCCCACCAATCCCCTTCAAAAGCTCATCAATAATCTCCTCCTCCTTGCCCTCCCCTTCTCCGCTCTCTTCCTCCTCTACCTCCTGCCTTTTCTTGCTGCCACCTTCCCCTCTTTTCTTCCCAGAAACTACCTCCTCTTCTTCCTCCTCCTCTGCCGCCTTTTTCCTCTTCTTCTTCTTCTTCCCGCCTCCCCCACCCGCCCCCTCGTCCTCTTCCGCACCATTCAGCCTCTTCATAATCTCATCCAAATGCTCCTCCTCCCGCCTCTCCCTCTCCCTTCCTACACCTTCCAGCATCGCCTCTGCCTCCCTCAACTTCCCTTCCGCCTGACTCTCTACGCCTTCCTCTCCCTCCTCTCCCTCAACACTCTCCTGTACTACCTTCTTCTCCTCCACCTCCTCCCCCTCCTCCCCTCCCGTTTCCCCTCCACTTCTGTCCGTTTTCTTCGCTGATTCCCGAGGCCCGAACCGCCTGCTTTTCTCGGTGTTGTCTTGCGCGCCTTCGCCCTCTCCTTCCGCATCATCCCCGTTCCCATCACCATCAGCACCAGCACTGCTGCTATCAGTGGGAGAGAGACCATCCTGCTGCCCCTCCTGCTCCTGCTGTTGCTGCTGCTGGTGCTGCTGTTGCAGTGAAATCTGTTGCTGGTGCTCCTGCGTTAACCCCTGCTGCTGCTTCTGCCCATGAATCGCGACCCACGACGGCGCGGCTATTAACGATCTAGAGCTTATGAAAATGAAGGACGCGAGAAGAAAACCCAGGAACAGGCAAGTGCACGGCAGCAGGAGAGAGTAAACGGACGACGCGGAGGATGCATAGTGAGGCACGCCGCCAAACGCGGATTGCGGACCGCCGAGAGAAGAATACCCCCCTATGCCCCCAAAGGGAGATCTTCCAGACAAAGAGAACGTTCTAGACCGCCCGCCGCCGCCGATGCCGCTAAGGAGACCGGAAAAGAACCACCCTCCGCCTCCCCCAAATCCGGCGCCAGCAGCGCCTCCGCCGCCGCCGCCGGCGCTTGCGGAAGAGGACTTTGCAGCGGAGGAGCTGAAATAGAAGGCATTGGAGCGGCGAGTGGCGGCACCGCCGGCGGCGGAGGGGAAGCGGGAGGAGGCATGGGCGGCGGAAGAGGCGGAAGGAGGGGGCGCGGAAGGGAGCTCCCAGTCGAAGGCCCCGAAGCCGGAGGTGGCGCGGCGATCGCGGGTAGACGAGCGCATGGTTGGGTCAGGCGGAGAGGGGGTGTGGCGCGGAGAGGAAAATGCGGAGTGGAACGAGATTGAGAGAAACGGTGGTTGATGTCGCAACAAAACCGGGCGGATTAGAAGAGAGATTCTCTCCTACTAATCCCTTGCGATCTTGATAGTGCTGGAAGCGTTGGTGGTGACTTTTTGCTGCCAAGCAGTGTGAGATCGGGGTGTGAGATCGGGGAGCAAGTACAGCTCCACTGTACCCTCCCTCTCTCTGTCCAGATCGGCTCACGTTGAACGGAAACGCATTCACGAGGTGGCTAATCGAATCAACGTCCGCACTTGGCACAAAAACAAATCCGGCAGGAAGTGAACAAAAATCCTGCAAAAAAAGCCACGAAACCCTACTAGTGCCTAAAAAAAGGTGCTTCGTTTATTAATCTATGGATGACTGATGAGACTAACGCATCCATCGAGTGATCGACGACCGATCGCCGTGTTGATGCCTGACGCATTGCGTGCGGAGCAACGGTCTAAACTCGACTCGGTTTCACTTGCTTTTAATCCATCGCGACCAGTCACCTGCGATCGCGCAGAGAAAGCGGACGACGTGCCTTTCCCGCTGCGATGAACGCCAACTACCATGCATGAGTGCACGCCAGCTAAAGGCGGGCAAGACGGCAAGTCTCTTGACTGACTTCAGTTGATTTGAACTTCGGAGGGCGAAACATGTGCTCTTGTTCTCTCTTGTCTTCTCTGGGGGCTCGAGCTCAACTCTCCCGATTTGCTCAGGTGGGTGGATTGTGCTTGTGCGGCTGGTGGCTTGGGGGTGGCGGTTGGTGCGGTAGGTACGGCGGAGGAAGGCTCGGGAGGGATTCGGGGAACGGGCCCGGTTCGGAGGAAGAGGGCGAGTTGCTCGGCTCGGCAATATCTGGGACTGTACAATTGTAGAGTTCGACTCTCGTTATGTTATTCGAGTATCACTTCACTTGAACGTTCTGAAACGAGGGCTGCTTGTACCAAATCAAATCAGGGAAACCAAAACGAGCATTTTTACAAGGCATAGCATCATAAATCCAACATAATGTACAAACCACAAACACTGCTAGCAAGGTTTCCAAAAGCCCAGTAGTGCGCGACAAACACACTCCAACAATGCAAGCCATAGGTGCATGGACTGGCTGTACGGTATAACTTACTCCAAAAGACTGTACCAGTGCCTTCAAAACCGTGTATATCCATCCCACAAACATCCATCCCAAAACCATCCATCCCCATGCAACTCACATCACACCCAGGCCAGTCTGCCGCACTCCCTTCCCTCCCTTGCATGCTTCCTTCGCCTCCCTCCCATCCTCACCTGCTCTCTCCCATCCCCTCCTCCGCACACCCTCCCCTCTGCATCTCCCTCCCTATAACCTGCAGGCAGCAGGCAGAGCAGAAGAAATACCAAATCCAGCCCCCTCACTTGCGCTACCTCTCCCATGCTCCATCCACCTTCATCCCTGAACATCAAATAACACACTCACCCATGCCACCTTCCCGGCCTGCTTTCATCCACTCGTGTCACCTCATGAATAACCCTCTCCGTCGCAATCTCTCTCTCTCCTTCCCCCACCTAACTCGCGGATACAGAAGCGCCCAGCGGAATTTCAAGTCAGTTTCCAAATGGATTTTGAGTAGACCGATTAGTTGACGGTACCGTAGCAATTAACTCGCTGGCACAGCAGCAGCGAGTGCTTTCACGAGCTCGCGCTCCTCGATGGGCTTGGAGAGGCACCCATACATGCCCGAGGTGACTTTTGAGTCAACTCAAAAGTCAACAAATTATCTAGCTGGCACAGCAGCAGCCAGTGCTTTCACGAGCTCCCGTTCCTCGATGGGCTTGGAGAGGCACCCATCCATGCCAAGTTGGTGTTTGAAATTTCACAGAAACCAATTAACTGGCTGGCACAGCAGCGGCCAGTGCTTTCACAAGCTCGCGCTCCTCAATGGGCTTGGAGAGGCACCCATCCATGCCGGCAGCTTCGCAGCGCTGCCGCACCTCCCCAATGGAGTCTGCTGTGAGGGCGAAGATGGGCACGTGCGTGCACACCACCTGTTGCTGCTCCTGCTGCTGCTCCTGCTCCTGCTGCTCGTGCTGCTGGTGGTTGCGTTGGTATTGCAGCTCGGCCTGTCTCACCCTGCGAGTAGCTTCCAGCCCGTCCATTCCAGGCATCTGCAGAGAGAGGGGGGGGAGAGAGGGAGAAGTGGGTGTGTGTGTGTTGGGAGGGATTTTGAGGCGCCTCAAATGTTGGTGCTGCTGCTGCTGGTTGCGTTGGTACTGCAGCTCGGCCTGTCTCGCCCTTCGAGTAGCTTCCAGCCCGTCCATTCCAGGCATCTGTAGAGAGAGAGGGGAAAGGGAAGTGGGGGAGAGAGAGAGGAGGGAAGTGGGAGAGGGGAGGAAGAGGGGGAGGGGGAGTGGAAAGGGGAGGTGAGGTGCGTACATGCGGGCGTGTGTATCATTGCACAAACTACTCCCTGCACTTACTGAAAAGGCACCCATTCTCTCTCCCCAACAACACACGAAACAGCACACAAAACAGCAAATGACACGTCACAGTCAACAGCACACAGCACAGCAGAACAGCACGCACCTGCAGGTCATGAAGAGTGAAGGGTGGTCCATGAAGACCATTTGGATGGAGTGCGGCAACGCAAGCGCAGCCAGACGGAGCTCTTGAGAATTCTCAAGAATGACTCACTTGGAACAGTGCAGCGCACGGAACAACACACAGAACAGCACACGAAACAGCACACGCACACACCTGCAGGTCCATGAAGACCATTTGGAAGGAGTGTGGCAACGCAAGCGTAGCCACAGCCGCAGCACCACTATCCACAGCCACAGCATTCACTACTCCCAGGCGCTGCAGCACCTTGGATACCACCTTACGGTTCACCATGTTATCATCTACCACCAGCACTCTGCACCCCTCAAACACATGCACACATGCACACATGCACGCATGCACGCACCTGCAGGTCCATGAAGACCATTTGGAAGGAATGCGGCAGAGCAAGAGCAGCCACGGCCGCAGCACCGCTGTCCACAGCAACAGCATTTACTCCCAAGCGCTGCAGCACCTTGGACACCACCTTACGGTTCACCATGTTGTCATCTACCACCAGCACTCTGCACCCCTCCCAACCGCCCCTCGCTCCTCTCTCTCCAGTTGATCCTATCTCGCCCCGTTGAACCCTCTGGGGTCTCTGCCCGTTTTGACTCCGTTGACTTGGGTTTGACTCGGGAAGAAGCCCTCCCGCAACCCTGCTTGCCCCTGCCGCTGCTGCCGCTGCTGCTGCTGCCGCTGCTGTTGCTGCTGGTTCTGCTGTTGCTTGTGTTGCCAGAGGTGCAGCAGCGGGAATTCCATTACAATTTTGGGAGGAGGAAGAGGAGGGCAGAAGGGGAGTGATTTCAGTAAGCAAATCATACGTGCTTGCACTAGCACGAGCATCCTCTGTTGCAGCAGCAGAAGGAGCAGCAGAAGCAGCAGCAGCAGCAGATGGACGTGTAGACGCCCCCCGCCTCTTCTCCCCACCCGCAACACTACCCTCCCTGACAGCAACCCCTCCTCCAGACCCTCCCGCTCCTCCTGCTCCTCCCGCTCCTCCTACTCCTCTCCCTTCCACCCTCCACTCGCTGCTATTGCTGCTGCTGCTGCAGCAGCTGGTGCAGTCCCTGTGCAGGGCAATGAGAGGCGGGAGAGCGGCTAGCAGGGCACTCCGCCTGAGAGGCTTCCTCACCATGCCGTCAAATCCGGCGAGAGTGGAGGGGTCGGAGGGTGGGGCTTGCACGAGCACAGCTATGCTCGGCAGCAGCAGCGGTACATGCCTGCTGCTGCGTGCACGGCTACTGCTTGTTCCCGCTCCTGCTGCTGCCCCTGCCCTTCCTCCTGCTCGTCCTACCCCCCTTGCTCCCCCTGCTACCCCTGCTCTGCCTGATTCAGCAGCGGCAGCAGCAGCAGCAGCAGGGTCAAGGGCACGAGCAATGAGGGTGCGGATCTCGTTCCCAGAGAATCTCCTTCCCCGCACAGTCAACGCACTCTGTTCCACTAGCACCAGCGACACTGCCCTCTCCTTCTGCTGCTGCTCCTCCTGCTGCTCCTGCTCCTGCTCCTGCTCCTGCTCCTGCTCCTGCTCCTGCTCCTGCTCCTGCTCCTGCTCCTGCTCCTCCGGATTCTCCCGTCCCTCCTGCGTGCCAGTATACAACAGAGGCTGCTCTGTTCCTGCCACGCCCGCTGCTCCTGCTGTTTCTCCTGCTACAGCAGACGGAACCGCATCCACACCCGCAGCAGCAGTAATAGCAGCAGCAGTGGGGGAGAGAAGCGGGGAGTGGTAGTCAGTATCCGTAGAATCCGGCACACTTAGCAACGCAGCAGCAGCAGCAGCAGAGAAACCAAGCGCAGCACCAGCAGACCGGCTTTTCCTGTGCAGAGATCCCCCTGACCCACCTAACGCCCCATCCACAACACCGCCGGGCCCAGCAGCAGCAGCAGCAGCAGCAGCAGCAGCAGCAGCAGCGGCAGCATCACCAGCAGCATTGCCAGCAGCACCAGAAGCAAATGGCTCCTCACATGCAGCGCCCCAGTGCCCATTCGTTCCTCTCGTCTCCCTCTCTCCGCCTGCCCCTCCTCCACCAGACACCATAGACAACCCCCCCACCCCCCCCCCCACCTCGCCCTGTCCTTTCCCAAAAGCCACCCCTCGCACTGCTGCAGTTTGCCCTACCTATGGAACCCATTGCACCGAAGCTCACCGCATGGCTACCACCTCTCACCCCTTCCGACCCTCCCGCCGCTCCTGCCGCCCCTGCCACTCCCCCTCCGGCTCCTCCCCGCCCTCCCACCCCACCCGCTCTCCTCTTAGCCACCGCCGCACCCTCCTTATCCGGATGAGAGTCCGAGTCCGAGCAAGCCGAGATGAGGTGGAGGGGAGGAGCAAAGGTTTCGTCTGGTCCCGAGGGGAGAAGAACAAGAGGGATTTCCGAGAGGGAAGCTGCCAGGAAGACGCGCAGGCCGAGGCGGCGCAGAGATGAGGCGGTAACCGCACGGCGCACGGGGCGGTTGTCAATGAGGAGAACACAGGCGTTGAGGAGAGGAGAGGGGGGGAGGGATGGGAGAGGGTGGGGGTTGGGTAAGGTGGAGGGGACTGGGACAGACGTGAGCGGTACTGCTGCTCCTGCTGCTGCTGCTGCTGCTGCTGCTGCTGCTGCTGCTGCTGCTGCTGCTGCTGCTGCTGCTGCTGCTGCTGCTGGTGCTGCTGCTGGTGCCGCTGCTGATACGGACGCTGCTGGTGGTGCTGTCTCAAACGCAGCGGCCGCTGCAGCAGGAGCCACAGCAGCAGCAGCTTCGGGGCGAGAGGAGGAGGAGAATGAGGAGGAGGAGGTGGAGGAGGAGGTGGAGAGGAGCGGGGCTGCTTGCAACTCAACGTCGAAGAAGAATGTGGTGCCGACGCCCTCACAGGACACGAACGACATGCTGCCACTCATCATCCTCACCAGACGCTGCAATGCAATGCACCAGTCAACGCAAGTCAGGCACGGGAGGAAAGGGAGGCAATTTGTGGCGCGCCTTAGAAATCGTCGAAGAAGAATGTGGTGCCGACGCCCTCACAGGACACGAACAACATGCTGCCACTCATCATCCTCACCAGACGCTGCAGCAGTCAAAGCAAGTCAGGCAAGGGAGGCAAGTCAGGCAGAGTGATGCAGGATTCCTTCGTACAGGCGAGTGGTGCCGGTGACTTTTGAGTCGCCTCAAAGGACAATGCTTGAGCCGTCTCAAGAACAACCTTTAAGGCGGCTGGAAAAAGGGCTGCTGGGAGGGAGAGTGTGCCTGGCAGATGGAGAGGCCGATGCCAGTTCCTCCATACAGGCGAGTGGTGCTGGTGATTTTCTTTTAGGCGCCTCAAGGGCGAGTAAACACGACTACTGAGGCGCCTCAAAACAGGCTGATGAGAGCTTGAGCGCACCTGGCAGGCAGATGGAGAGAGGCCGATGCTGGTTCCTCCGTGCAGGCGAATGGTGCTGGTGATGTTTGATGCACCTCGCCTCACGGAAGACCCCTGAGGTGCGAAATGCGACTTTTTCAGGCGCGTCGAAGCAGGCTGTTGAGAGAGGGAGGGAGAGCGCACCTGGCAGATGGAGAGGCCGATGCCGGTTCCTCCGTGCAGGTGACTTTTGAGGCGCCTCATGAACGACCTTTGAGGCGGCTGGATAAACGGTTGTCAATGCTAAGAGCGCACCTGGCAGATGGAGAGGCCGATGCCGGTTCCTCCGTGCAGGCGCGTGGTGCTGGTGTCGGCCTGGGTGAACGGACGGAATATGAGGTGCCTTGCTCTCTCCGGTATGCCGCAGCCTGTGATGGGAATGGTGGAAGCATGGGAGGGAGAGGAGGGGAAAGAAGATATTTCAGTCAAGGAAAAAAGGGGGGAGTGGAAGAGAGGGTGAAAAAGGGGGGGAGGGGTGGGGTGGGGGGTGGGGTGGGTAGAAGGGGGGTTTCAACAGGAAGGAATGGAAAAGGTGGGATAGATGGCACGAGTAGGGAAGAAAAAAGGTAGAGGAGCAAAGGGAATGCTAATGGCACATAGAGAGGAGCAGCAGGAGATGGAAGCATGTGGAAGAGACGGGGGAGGGCACAAAATCACTGTTGAGTGGAGGAGAGATACACGAAAACTAGAAGAGGAGGCCAGATGATAGACACAGAACAGAATGTTATTTACACTAGACACAGAACAGAACTACATGCCCCCCTCTTTCTCTCACCTTACCCCTCTCCCCACTCTCCCCATTTTCCCCATCTCCTCCTTTCACCACACTCCCCGCTCCCCTTCTCTCCGTCTCCCCCACCTCCCCCCTCTCCCCCACCTTCCCCCCTCTCCCCCGTCGCCTCCGCTCACCTGTATCCTCCACGCTAATCACCAGTCGCACCGTCTGCCCCTCCCTCACACTCCCACTCCTCCTCCTGCCATCCCCCTCCCCTCCCCCTCCTCCTCCTCCCCCTTCCAGCAGGTGCCGCACCTGCCCCCAGCTCCCCACACTCTCCATCACCCGCTTCCCACTCAGACTCAGATACTCTCCCCTCCCCTCCTCTTCCACCCACACCATCTCCGTTGCAGCTCGTGGCGGCAGCGGCGGCGGGGGAGGCGGGGTCGGGGGGGGAGGGGACGGGGCCGACGGGGGGAGGGTAGGTTGGAGGGGGAAAGCGGGCGGGTGAGTGGCAGGGAAAGGGGCGGCGGGGGGAACGTGGGTGTGGGAGGGTGGTGGCGGTAGTGGGGGGGAGAGGCGAGCCGCTGAGAGTGGGTTGATGTTGCTCCCACCGCAACCACCACTGATGTTATTGCTGTTTCTTGGATCACCCCCAGGGACAACAGGTAGGGCAGAGGCAGCAGCAGCCCCAGCCCCAGCACCAGCACCAGTACCACCAGCAGCAGCAGAAGAACCAGCAGCAGCATCAGTGAGATTCGTGCGGCTGCTGCTGCGGTTCCTATTCCCGTCCCTAACCACCACCTCTGCAGCATCAGCAACCCTCACACACAGCAGGATATGCCCTTCCTGCGTGAACTTAAACGCGTTCCCAATCAGATTCACCAGCACCTGTCTGAACCGCAGTGGATCCCCCACCAGCCTCCCCGGCACCAAATCCGCGACAAACGCTGCCAACTCCACCTGCGGCTTCTCAGCCGTCCGATCGACAAACAGCCCGAGAACGTCGTCGATCTCGGCGCGTAGATCGAACGGGAGAGCCTCGAGCTCGAGGCGGTCGGCTTCTATCTTGGAGAGGTCGAGGATGTCGTTTATGAGCGTGCAGAGGGCTCGCCCGCTGGCGCGCGCCGTTTCCACGTAGTCCAGCTGGGTGGGGTCGAGTGGCGTTTGTAGCAGCAGGTTCAGCATGCCTGCGGAGGGAGGGATGGAGGGAGGGGGGGGTAGCGGGGCAGGGGCAAGGGGAAACAGGAGGGGAAGCGGGAGAAGGAGGGGAGGAGGGAGGAGCGAACGGGGGGGGGGGGGGGGGGGGGGGGAGGGGGGGGGAGAAGGAGAGCAGGAGAGCAGGAGCGTGAGCAGGGAGAGCCTCGAGCTCAAGGCGGTCTGCTTCGATCTTGGAGAGGTCGAGGATGTCGTTTATGAGCGTGCAGAGGGCTCGCCCGCTGGCGCGCGCCGTTTCCACGTAGTCGAGTTGTGTTGGGTCCAGAGGCGTCTGTAGGAGCAGGTTTAACATGCCTGGGCGGAATGAGGGGAAGTGGGGGCAGCGGTGCGGGGGGAAGGGGAAAACAGGGAAAGGGGAGAGCGGGAGCAGGAGGGGAGGAGGGAGGAGCAAACGGGGGGGGAGTAAGAGAGCAGGAGCGTGTGCAAAAGGGGATGAGATGAGAGCTTCGAGCTCGAGGCGGTCCGCTTCGATCTTGGAGAGGTCGAGAATGTCGTTGATCAGCGTGCAGAGAGCTCGCCCGCTGGCCCGCGCCGTTTCCACATAGTCCAGCTGCGTGGGGTCGAGGGGAGTTTGCAGGAGCAGGTTCAGCATACCTGGGGGGAAGTGGGGAGGAGGGAGGGAAGCAGTGTGGGAGCAAGGCGGAGCATGGGGGGGAGGGGGGGAGCGGGAGTGGCAGGGGAGCAGGGGGGCAGCAGGGGGGAGCAGAGGGGAACAGGGAGTGAGTAGGGGGAATGAGATGAGATGCGATGAGGCTGCTGGCCCGCGCTGTTTCCTTTTAGTCCAGCTGTGTGGGGTCTAGCGGCGTCTGTAGGAGCAGGTTCAGCATGCCTGGGGGGGCAAAAAGGGCGGAGGATGGGGGGAGCGGGGGAGGGGGGGAATGAGGAGCGGGGTGGCGCGGGTAACGAGGGAGCAGGGGGAGCGGTGGAAAGGGGTGGAATTATTTTGGGAAGGTGACTGGATGAGAGGAGATAAGGGAGAACGTAGGGTGGAGGGAACTGGAAAAGGAGAGCCAAACGGGGAAGTAGGGTTGGGGGGCGGGGGAGGGGGGGGGGGGGGGAGCAGAAGCTACGCAAGAGTGCCCACACACAAAGGGTGGGATTCGGAAGGGAATGCAGTGAACATGTTTCCCCCTTACCTGCCGCCTCACCCCTCTCACCCCTCTCACCCCTCTCACCCCTCTCACCCCTCTCACACCTCTCACACCTCTCAACCGCGTCTCTAACCCACTCACCGATCACGCAGTTCATGGGGGTGCGGATCTCGTGGCTCATGGAGGCTAAACCAGAACCACCGAATCACCTCACCTCACCCCTCTCAACCGTTCCTCACTTAGAACGAAGACCCACAGCGCACGTACCGATCACGCCGTTCATGGGGGTGCGGATCTCGTGGCTCATGGTCGCCAGAAACGCGCCCTTGGCTCTACTCGCGGCGGCCATGTGGTCTTTGAGGCGCAGCATGCGGTGGTAGTCGCCCTCCATGGGGGTGCGAGAACCACCGCCTCACCCCAACCCCCCTCTCAACCGCCTCCCACCCCCCTCTCAGCCGCGTCTCTCTCTCACACTCTCTCTCACTCTCTCTCTTCTTTCTCACGTACCGATCACGCCGTTCATGGGGGTGCGGATCTCGTGGCTCATGGTGGCGAGGAAAGCCCCCTTGGCGCGGCTGGCGGCCTCCGCGGAGGCGAGCGCGGCGGCCATGTGGTCTTTGAGGCGCAGCATGCGGTGGTAGTCGCCCTCCATGCGCTCCACCCCGCGCACGATCGCCCACAGCACCACCGCTATCAGCAGCACCAGTAGCAGCACCGGGAGGGCCCAGAGGACGGGGGAGACTGGGATGTATGTCGTGTTGATGTAGCTGGGGAGGGGGGGCAGCGGGGGAGGGGTGGGGGAAGAGTGGGGGAGGAGCGAGGGGGGAGCGGGGGCGGAATGGGGGGAAAGCAGGGGGGAAGAAGGCATGAGAAGTGTTCGCGGAGGCGAGCGCGGCGCCGCGCCCCGCCAGAGAAACACGCATGCAGCGCCTCGCATAGCCCGGCCACTCACACCATTCACTACTCTAGTTTTTAAACGTCTCAAAACGCGCCCCGCCAGAGAAACACGCATGCAGCGCCTCGCCTAGCCCCGCCCCGCCACTCACACCATTCACTACTCTCTCACTCCCTCTCCCCACTCATGCCCTCGCATCCAAACCCCTTCTTCCCCTCCGTTTCCCCTCCCCTTCCACTCCCCACCCTTTCCACCCCCATTCCCCTCACCTTCCCCCCTAAACCTCCCCACCTCACCGGCAGTGCAGCTGGAACGACTGACTCGGGTCCCCGAGGTAGATGGGGAGTGCGAGGGGGAAGTCGCGCACGGCGTCCATCCCCGCCAGGTCCAGCCCCGCGGACGCGTGCAGCGCCTCGTAGTCAAACGCCAGCGGGCCCCCGCTCATGGCGGGCGAGGGGGGGTCGTCCGCCACGGGCAGCGGCGGCGGAGGGGACGCGGAAGAGGGGGCAGCGGCGGTGGGGGAGGTGGGAGCAGCGGCGGTGGGTGGCGCTGATGGGGAGGAAGAGGAGGAAGAATGGTTTGACGCTCCGGGAGAGGCAGAGGAGGAGGGGGAGGAGGGGGAGGCGGGGGACGCGGGGGGAGGCGCAGGCGCAGCAGACGGGAACTTGGGCGTGCGCTTATATAGCACCGTGTAAATAGGCGAGGAGGCGGTGGGGAGCGGGCCGTCAGAGAGAATGGTGAAGTTATAGGCCACTATGACCCACCCGCGGATGTAGTGGCTGAACCAGGACGGGTCTTGTGGGGATGGCGTCAGGGCAAAGCGCGACGCGGAGGAGCCGGGGGGCGGAGAGGACGGGGGGGCACTGGGGAAGGAACCGGAGGGGGAGCCGGAGGGGGAGCCGGGGGAGGGGAAGGCGGAGGACGAGGGGGAGGAAGCGGGAGGGGAAGACGAGGAAGCGGAGGAAGCGGAGGAAGGGGGGAAGGCAGAGGGGGAAGAGGCGGCAGCGGAGAAACGGAGCGAGGAGGAGAGGTCGGGGTCAAAGACCGGGAAGGCCTGGGCTATCGTGGCTAGTGTGGTGCTGGGGCGCGCTGCTCCAGAGGCGGAGGGGGAAGCGGAGGAGGAGGATCCGTAGGGAAGGAAGGGCTCGGAGATAGCCCCCATGACGCCCTTGCGGAGGGTGCGGTCGAGAGCCGAGGCGAATGGGGGGACTGGGGGGAGCGGAGGGGGGCGGACGGGGCGCGGGACGGGGAGAGGGGGACACGGGCGGAGGGGGGTTGAGGAACGAAAGGGGAGGGGAGGACGGGGGGGGGGCGGGGGGAGCAGGAGGTGGGTGCAAAGTACACATTTTCGGAGAAAAATGACGGTATGGAAAGAGGGGAGAGAGGGCTTCTGTGGGAGGTACGAAGGGCACAAAAAAATCGTCTCTCAACTCAATTCACGAAAGCGAGAGTGAGAGTGAGAGGGAGAGGGAGAGGAAGAGGACGACTCACAGGAGACGATGTCCATGCCAGGAGACAGCACGACGGTATCCGCGAGCTGAAGCGCCGGGTTACTCGAGAACAGAATCACCACTCCGTACTCCTTCCCGCGCGCCTGCTTCCCCTCCGCTTGCCCCTGCCCCTGCCCCTGCGCCTGCCCCTGCGCCTGCCCCTGCGCCTGCGTCTCCGCGGGGTCGTCGTAAGGCAAGCAGGCCTTGGATTGCGCGTATGCCGCCGCGGCGGGCGCGAATACGCACGCATTCAACCCGTGCTGCGACAGATTCGCCTCGAACTCCCGCCGCATTGTCGCGTTCACTCTATGCGCGTACAGAATCACCGCGGCGAGCGGGCGCGCGTACGGAGTCGAGCTCGTAAACGACTGGTACGTGGCTAGATCGAACAGGCTCTGATGCGAATCCCCCGCGAGGTAATACGTCCTGATTAGATCCGTGATTGTCGCAGCGCTGCTGCTGGTGGTGTTGAATTGGTTCTCGAAGTAAGTCGTGTGCTGTAAGCAGATGCGCTGGAGGGAGACGGAGCGCGCGTGGAAGCTGTTGACGCCGGAGATTACGAACACGCCGACTGTGAGCGCGAGGCCGAGGAGCAGCCATAGCCACACCACGCGCTGACAGACGGGGGAGGGGGGAATGCGGCGGCGGAAGGGGAAGCGGAAGGGAAGCGGACGGGGAAGGGGAAGGGGAGAACGAGAAGAGAGGGACAATGAGCGTCGGGGGAAGGAGAGCGGGGAGTGGGGGGGAGGGGATGGGAGGTAAGCGAGAGCGCGAGACGGAGCGCGCGTGGAAGCTGTTGACGCCGGAGATTGCGAACACGCCGACCGTGAGCGCGAGGCCGAGGAGCAGCCATAGCCACACCACGCGCTGACAGACGGGGGAGGGGGGAATGCGGCGGCGGAAGGGGAAGCGGAAGGGAAGCGGACGGGGAAGGGGAAGGGGAAGGGGAGAACGAGAAGAGAGGGACAATGAGCGTCGGGGGAAGGAGAGCGGGGAGTGGGGGGGAGGGGATGGGAGGTAAGCGAGAGCGCGAGACGGAGCGCGCGTGGAAGCTGTTGACGCCGGAGATTGCGAACACGCCGACCGTGAGCGCGAGGCCGAGGAGCAGCCATAGCCACACCACGCGCTGACGGGCGGGGGAAGCGGAGGCGGAAGAGGGAAGGGGAAGGGAAGCGGAAGGGGAGAACGAGAAGAGAGGGACAATGAGCGTCCGGAGCAGGGGAGCGGGGAGTGGGGGGGAGGGGAGGTGACAGATGCGCTGCAGCGAGACGGAGCGCGCGTGGAAGCTGTTGACGCCGGAGATTACGAACACGCCCACCGTGAGCGCGAGGCCGAGGAGCAGCCATAGCCACACCACGCGCTGACGGGGGGAAGGGGCGGAGGGGGGAGCGGACGCGGACACGGAAGCGGAAGCGAAGGGGAGAATGAAGGGAGCGCGGGGAAAAGGGGGGGAAACGGGGGAGAAACGGGCTTGCGCGAAGCCGTTTTTTTTCTGAAAAGGCCTCTATGTGAGCAAATGTTAGTCCCTAAAAAATGATAAAATCAATGTAAAGAAGCTTATCGCCCAAGATTTCTAACCGGGTTACCATAGCTTGCTTACCCAGCTGCTGCAAAGCTTTTTGCTTTTCTGCTCCGGGGGAATGCTGTCGCCGACGTAAAGGTCACAGCAGCGAGAGAATAGAATAATAGAGCTCACCTGTCGCCATCGCTTGTTAAGTCGCACGAGCGGGCGCGTAACGGATCGCAGAACCGAAGCAGACACCTTTGACCTGCTGCCCCACTCCAACAACCCCCCACCCACCCACCCTCCGCCACACCCGCGCATCGCCTCCTCCCTTCCCTCCTCGTGCTCTCCCTCGCTCTCCGCGCTGACCGTTCTACCCGCTTCACGGCCCGCGGATTTCCCGCCGAATTTCCCGCAGGCTTTTGCGCCGGCGCCGCTCTCTGCCGCCCAGCCCCACATCGGCCACCGCGACCTCGGCGCGCCGTCCACCGCGGCGCCACGGTGGAAGGAGGAACAGGCGCAGGGTGACATCGGCGGCGGCGTCATTTTCCCGCCGGTGGAAAAGCTCCCCTCCCCGTGCTCGTCTTCTAGCGCGGAAGCACCTATACAGCTACCGCAGCCGCGGCTTTCCCCCGCGCCGGCGGGTTTCGAGTGGTGAACGCGGCTCGAAACTCTACCAGTACTACTACTACCACCGCGGCGCGTGCCATTCGAATCGGAACGCGGTTGATGATGCATGTGCGGAGCGGGCAGCCAGCCCCACCGCGCGCTGGTGTGGGAGTGCGGAGACCGTGACCGCCATGGCCCCCGCCATCTCCCCCCCCCCGCGGCGGCGTTCCCCGCAAGCGCGGAGTTTCCCGATCGTCGTTCCGCTGCGCTTCCAAAAGTTACATTCCTGGCCTCCCTGCTGCTGCGGCTGCTGCTGCTGCTGCTGCGGGTGCTGCGGAGACTGCGGCTGCTGCTATTCGTACCTCCCCTGGTCACCTTCTCAATCCTCCGCTTCCCACCAGTCTCAGGAGCAATCCTCGCGGCGGCTCCCGTCGGGTCGTTACCAGCGCCGTTAGAAGTAACGTTGGATACGTCGAGGGCAATGTGTCCAGCCGTCTCGCCATTGGTGGAGAAAGCGCCGTTGGCAGCGCCGTTGACAGCGCCGCTGCCTTGGGTCTTGTCGCTGGAACAATGTTGTGTTCCCAGTAAGAATTCATGCTGCTGCTGCTGTTGCTGCTGTGGAAATTCGGCATTTCCAGCCATAGAATCGTCTCGATGTTCTCCTGAAATCTCTACATGAAATTTCCCTATCGATATCTTTCAAGTTACACTGCTCGGGAGGGTCGCAACCTCAAAGCCTTTTAATATACCTTGTACATCCAACAAGAGCATTGGTCACCTGTGACGATCGACCACCTGCAGTAAGCGCCTGTACGTTGGTCAACATAACTTAGCTTTGTTATGACTGCAAACCAAACCCTAGACTTCATAGGCGTTGGGCAAGCGGGGAGTCGGACGGGGAGTCGGGTCGGGTCGGGGACTCGGTTCAAGGGGAGGAAGAGAAGAGGCAAAAACGACAAGTGGGCGGAGGCCTCACCGTCTCCGCCAGCCATTGGCTGAAGGTGTTCTGCGGGCTCGCGGGCGCGGAAAGGAAGCGGAAATGCGGAGGAATGACTGTGTCAGTCAGCGCAGAACCAGGTGTGGATCTTGAAATCCGATCCTACCACAACCCAATTCAAAAGGGGGAAACGGACCATATACACTCTCTGATACGTAAGCAAAACCTGTTGAGAACTCTTCCCTGCCGTTTAGAAGGTAGAAGTCTAAAACGTTTTCTGTTACGACAAAAAGGGATACTCTTGAGGTACCAAGGGCGCGCAATTGACTGAGCTTCATATTGAAACAACCAAGTCAAGTTCAAACTCTCCATATGCTTCGGACTCTCGAAACGTTTTGGGCGTTTGTGAAACCAAAAGTCTGTAGTCTTGAAAATAATTCAGTGTAGCGGAAATAAAAAAGGCCGAAAGAAAGAGCAAATGACTAAGATAATGCAACTGAAAAGGCCTAAGGAAGCAGTGGCCTGGAGGAGAGGAATCCAACTGTGTTCACTGTGTTTATTTTTTGGGCGACCAGCCGTACATTTGTTACTGTCTCTGTATATTTTCGCTTTTTGCATTGCATGATGACTCCCATGGGCACGAGGAACAGCGTTCCCGCAAAACGGTGGAACGTTGTTGAATGTGGCAGGCAGCAAGCTTCTGCGTTGACCTACAAAATCCAGACTCGCATTTTACTGTAGCCGCGTGTTTGGCAGGTGAGTGACGTCTGATGATTACTATGTGCAGAAGTCCACAAAGCCCCTTGGTTGCAACCACGCTGTGGGGGGAGCTGCTGGCGGCAGGCCCTCCTTTTCAGGGTGTACTTAACATACAGTCCTGACCAACCAGGTTGGACCCAGATACCGTCCCGGTGTTTTGTACCTTCTGAATTCTGTTAAATTTATGTTCTGGATCCATCTAGGCGTCTGAATCTGGTTGAATTAGCCTTCAGTAATATGGCTAGGGTACTTTGAGGAACCAACGTCTGGATTCCCACGTGCACTTACAAAATCGAACCCGCCATAGAGCATCTCAACTCCACTCTCAGGTCTGCTTGCCCAAGTTCCCATATGTTTGCTCGCAGCCTGTTTCTGAGTACTTCAAAGTGTGTAAATGTAGTGTGCCTGCCTATTGGAGAATCCAGTGTTTGTTGCGAAAAAGGCAGTTCGGATCATTCCATCAATTTATGCCTTACGTGAGCAGCACAAGGCTCTTGGGAAACACCTGTCTCGAATCAGGTGTACAAAGCCGAGCTACCCTGCTTCTTGCACTCTTGATTTCCCACCCATGGTGGGAGAAGGCAGGCTCCGGGTACTGTACGGAAGGTGCGGGAGGGGGCACCACACACCACCTCCACCACCACTACAGTACAGTACCACCCACCATCACCACCACCACCCATGTTTGTTGTCACGGATGCCGTTACTCGCGGCATCGGCGAAGGCTGCACCCACCAATGGCATGTCCGCATGTTCCTCGTTAAGGTCAGCTGCACTTGCCTACATAACTATCCACAGCAAGAGAGTCTCCTGATATGAATTGAAATGTTTACTAAGGTTGGGTGTTACGAGTGCAATTGAGTGAACGAGCGAGAATTGCACTATCGAAGCAAGAGTACAATGAGCGAAGGCATGAGCGAAGAATATATAGCGAAACTACAGTGGTAACGGTAAAGTGGGAAATTGAGGTGCGCTACGGGCCTAGCGCCGAGGTTTGGAGAATTGTCGAGGCGGAGGTCCGGAGCGCGGGTTACCAACCGAACCGTTAGGTTGGGTCGCGTCGTGAGCAGTGGCGGGAGTCGTGGTCGAGGCGAGTGTCGTAAACGGGTAACGTGCATGGATGGGTGCTGATGGCGGGAACGGTTATGTACGCGGTAAGCAGGGACGCGAAGTAAGGGAAAGGAATTTTCCTTACACTACCCCCCCTTCCCAAGGAGGCCCCTCTTACGAGAGCGCGTGTACATCTCGGAAGTTTCGGCTGCGCAGATACTCAGTGAGGACAGGGTGACTCTCAATTCTATCCAAGGGGACCCAGTTGTCTTCGGTGGGCGTGCGGTCTTTCCAGCGGATCAGGAATTCGATTCTGCGGGCTCCCCGTGGGTCACGTACTCGATGGCTCAGTATTTTCTCAGGCGTGATGATTGGCTCAGTCGGCGGTCGTGTCATGCTGGCGGGGCGGTTGCGAGGCAGTTGGCTGGTGGATGGCACGTATGGGCGAAGCAGGCTGGCGTGGAATGACGGGCTGACGTACCAGTCAGCAGGGAGGAGGAGATGGGCGGTGACGGGTGTGATCATGTGGCTGATGCGAAATGGCCCGCAATATCGGGGGCGGAGTTTTGGGGTGATGGGCAGGCGGAGGTTTTGAGTGTCGAGTAGAACTAGGTCGTCTGGCTGGTAAGTGACAGGTCGGCGGTGGCGGTCAGCGTTGCGTTTAGCGATGATGTTTGATTTTTTTATTGCTTCGGCTGCTCGGGTCCGTACTGCTTGCAGTATTTCTGCGAACTGTTGCGCGCGTGGGACTGGGTTGTCGGGATTCGGGGTCATGGGTACTGTGGGGTCTTGTCCGTAGTTCAGGTAAAACGGTGACTGTTGGGTCGTGGCGGATGGCGAGTTGTTGTATGCGAATTCGATGAGTGGCAGTTGCTGTTCCCACGTGGTCGGGTCGTCGCACGTGGCCCGGATGAGCTGTTCCATGGTCTGATTTGTCCGTTCTGTCTGTCCGTCGGTTTTGGGGTGGTATGATGAACTGAACTGCAGTCGCGTGCCGAGCTGCTGCCACAGGTTCCGCCAGAAGTTGCTGGTGAATTTCGTGTCGCGGTCGCTGATGATCGCTGCTGGTATCCCGTGTAATCGAACGATGGTGGCGATGAAGGGGCGAGCTGTTTCTTCGGCTGTGATTGATTTCTTGCATGCTGCGAAGTGTGCCATTTTCGTCAGCCGATCGACGACGACCAAGATCGCGTCGTTCCCACTTGCTCCAGCCGATAACCCCGTGACGAAGTCCATCGTCACCTGCTGCCAAGCACGCTCTGGGGGTGGTATCGGCTGCAACTGTCCTGCCGGTCGTTGTCGTGACGACTTCATGAGCTGGCAGGTGGGACACGATGCCACGTGTCGTTGCACGTCGGTCAGCATCTCGGGCCAATAGTAATACCGCAGCAGCTGCTGCCGTGTTTTCTCTACCCCGAAATGTCCCAAGGTAACTCCGTCGTGTGCCTCCTGTAACAGTAATTCCCGTAGCAGTGTGTACCCTGGTACCCAGATGCGGTCGGTCCCGGTTTTTACGTAATAGACTCCCTTGGCTCCTGCGAACTGCTGCGAATTTCCTCCTGTGAAGAATGGGTCCGTTTGGTACCCGGGGTAAATAGTCCTGTCAGTAGCGGGCTGGTCTGGGCGAGTAGTATCGCGTGGATTTGGGCAGTGGGGCGGGTCAGTGCGTCAGCGATGTTGGATGCTCCCTTTTTGTAGGTTACCGTGTAGTGGAAGTTTGACTCGAGGAAATCGAGCCAGCGGATCTGTCGTGGGTTGAGGTGGGGCTGTGCGCGGAGGTACTGTAGGGATCGGTGGTCTGTCCGTACTGTCACGTCTGCGCCGGTCAAGTAACAGCGCCAGACCTTGAACGCATGCACGATTGCGAGCATTTCGCGGTCGTGTATCGGGTAATTTTTCGCGGGCGGATGCAGCTTTCGTGACTCGTAGGCGATGGGCTGTAGGCCGTTGCCGAAATCCTGTAGCAGTACGGCTCCAATGGCGATGTCGCTTGCGTCGGTTACGACTTCGAAGGGGCGGTGTGGGTCAGCGATGCGCAGTACGGGCGGTGAACAGAGAACAGTTTTCAGGGCAGAGAAGGCAGCATGCTCTTTCTCCCCCCACGTAAAGGGGACCCCCTTCCGCAGCAGATCCGTCAGTGGGGCTGTTAATTGCGCCATGTCGGGGACGAACCGACGCACGTAATTAACGAACCCTAAAAAACGTTGCAGCTCCGTGATATTTGTCGGGGGGTGCCACGCTTTGACCGTGTCCAGCTTCTTTGGGTCGATTTCACCCCAGCCTCCGAAATAACGTGTCCTAAAAATTCTAACCTGTCCTGAAAAAACTCGCACTTGGAACCCTTGGTCAGTAGTCTGTGCTCGTCTAAAACTTTAAACACTGCTTCCAGATCTGCTAAATGCTGCTGCTTATCACGACTGTAGACTAGGATGTCGTCGAGGTAAACTATGACGCATTTATCTAAAAGTGGCCTAAACGCATCGTTCATGTTGCCGGTGCGTTGGTCAACCCGAATGGCATCGCGGTGTACTCGAATGACCCGTACCTAGTCCTAAATGCTGTCTTGGCGCAGTCTGATGGTTCGACCCGAATCTGATGGTAACCTCCCCGTAAATCTATTTTCGAAAAAACCCGTGCTGTTCGCAGCTGGTCGATCAGTTCGTCAGCGCGGGGAATGGGGTATCGCGACTTGACTGTTACCCGGTTCAGTGCTCTGTAATCGATGCACATGCGAAACCCTCCGTCTTTTTTCGGTGTGAACAGTATCGGTGCGGCGAACGGTGACGAGCTCGGTCGGATGAATTTTTTCTCTAACAGGTAGTCTAACTGCTTCCTCAGCTCATCGAGCTCGGGCTGTGTCAGTCTGAACTGTCGCTGTACGGTTGGCTATGCCCCG